ACAAAGCCACCAGTACCAGCCAGATGGAGTACACCAGTGGGATACAGCCATCTCTGGATACAGACCCTGGTCTCTGGTCAACAGACAGTCTAGAAAACTTAAAAGGTGTAAACTCTTCCACAGAAGAACTGTGGGTGACAACACCTCACTCCAAAATTAATGGAACATTATATAAGAAATTTAAAAATGCACCTTTTAACTTAGGCATTCCCAAGACAATACACAACTATTCAAGCACAATTAGGGTGCAATCCTATGCAAGTTTAGACAGAAAGATCCTACAGCTTCCAGAATTCCCAAGGAAGTTCTGTTCTGGAGGGTGGGATTCTGTTTGATTCCCTGGTCTCTGGCGTGCTTTCTTGTGGCCATGAGTCCAACTTCCTGCTGAGTGCACCCACCACTGACATGACGCTCTCCTGGAACTCATCCATGTGAATAAGCAGCATCCTTCTTCCATGCATGTGACTTACAGCCCTCATTTATGCTGCACATGATGTAGGAGAAGGTGGCTGGCTGCATGAGCTTCTGCTGAGCTGCCTTTCTAAGGCAGGGCTGAATGAGAGGAAGCCTGTGCAATGAAGAACAGATTCCAGGGAACATGGTCACGACACTACCGTGGGGTAGTGTTTTCCCACATTCCCTTGCAAGAGGACAGATTTGCACAATATTTGAATATGGCAATCTATATAGATATGCATTTTAATGCCTCTGATAGTCATACAATACGTATCATAATGGAGGATACTGTGACCAGGCAGTCTGTGTACCTGCCCAGTTCACTGTCATGGAGCTAACTAACAGCTGACAGGACTCTGAAGAAGAGATTTTACTGCTTGAGAGAAAGCACCAGGCAATGCCTCTCCAGTCCTATTCCATGAACAGAAGCCAAGCGGGCCACCTGTGGAATCTTGCTTCAATGCCAGCAACAGGACAATGTCTTCCCACCAGATCAGAGTGCAGCAGGCCAGTTCAAGGGCCGCAAGGCAGGCTGCAAGGCACACAACTCTGACCTCAAAAAGAGGGGAGTGGCTAGGGTGAAGACTCAGGGGCCACCACTGCTGCCCTCCCGCATCTCTTGCTTGAGTCAATTGCCTCACTCTGCCTAATGGCAGGGCTGGCCCTACCTGAATCTATGGTTTTGCCATGATTCCCCTGCAGCAGGTCTGGGGACATGAATGTGCTTTGATGGTGACCAGGTAGACATCCTGTCGCAGTCCAGAGGATCCACAGGTATCTTTTTGCAGATCCATGTTTTTTGGCAGAGTGCCACTGTGAAGCAAAATCCATGATTTTTATGATTCAGTGGATTATCAGGGTCTTGATCACATGGCTGTGACTTTCATGGGGTCCCCCAGTAAAAGTCCATACCACAGATTCATGTTTTTGTGCCATGCAAATTTCATTAAGCTGTGAATACAAGTTTTTCTTTTTAAGTGCAGGCTCAGATGTGTTCTATGATCTCTGACAGCATGCAAGGTGGGAATAATGTGGGAGGAAGTTTTCCTGAGCAGCCCGCCTTTAGGAAGAATGTGCAAATTTAGGGAAAGTGCCTGAAACTGGTACCATTTAATAAAGAACACCTTATCTTAAGACATAAAACATGACTGCTTTCTGGAGTGCCAGCTCCAAATCAGACTATATTTAATATTATCTGAGTCATAACAATTTCCAGTATACTTAACTGAAACTTTATTTACCAATTCTGATATTATGAATTGTTTTAAGCAATAAAGTCAATTTACTTTTTGCTATAAGGATACTTTTGTTTTCATTTCATTTATGAAAGCAGTGAAAACAATTACCATGCAACCCCCAGAAATTCACACTTTTACCTCATAGTCCAGGCTGAGTCCTAAGGAAGAAAAAATGGTATACGTCTTTCCATTGATTTCCAGAACCCTTCTCGTTCTTGAAATGGTGTTATGTAGTCACATCCAAGAAAGCAATGATAGCAATGAATCCTGTTCATCTAGTGGCTTTCTCTCACCTGGGTACTTGTTATCTGACTGCAGACCCTTTTTCCTCCACTCATTTACTCCATTATTTAGGAGCAAAATGTTTCTCAGAAGAGTCATCAACCCATCTGTGTCACTGTAATGTATGACATGGTTACTCAGTTTGATACATGATACTGCGAGGCCATAAATCTTTTGTGAATGTCCTGCCGAGGACATTCAAAAGGAACTCTTTTCATTGCATTGCATACTACAATCCACAATACAGAAAACAGAACTCTGGGATCGAGAATTATGTAATCATACTATCATGCTTTCACTAGAAACAGCACTCGAGCCCGTTTGAGGTTAACATTTCTTAGTGTTTCAATGAAGTAAAAAGTCATCTAATTTCTATTTCAGAAATTGCATTCTGCTGCTAACACCAGCTCTTCTGTCTCATCCCAGAACTTAGACTGTTGGAGTAACAGCTCAGACCAGTTTTAATATTTTCCAGGTACAGTGATACCTCGGTTCACAAATGCCTCGGTTCACAACCAAATCGGGTTGCGAACAAAAATTTCATGAAAATTTTGACTTTGGTTGTGAACTCCGCATTGGGTAGCGACCACGATCGCAGCGATCTCTCCTCCCCTAGGGGAGGGGATCTTTGAGAAGCACCACCCCAACATAAATGCAACAGAGTGTTGAATCTGATGAACGATAATCTGTTCTCTCATTTGCAGAGGATTATGCAGTGCAGGAAAAAACAAGTGACTATAGACAGATTTTTCACCAAAATTGACCCTGCAGCTAAGAGACAAAGAAGAGAGGAAACCCCTGAAAGAGATCTCCCCAATGTCCTTATGGAGGGGGTCTCTCCCTCAAAACAATACCCCCCCACCTAGGTTAGTGTTTTCCACTGTACTGTACAGTACTTTGTTCTTTGCCACTTTGTTTCAAATTTTTCTGATTAAAAAAATAGTCACAGAACGGATTAACCTTATTTACATTGAACCTTATGGGGAAATTTGACTTGGGTCACAACCTATTTGGGTCGCAACCAGAGTCGTGGAACAGATTACGTTCGTGAGCCAAGGTACCACTGTAGATGGGAAATCTTCCACGCATTTAAGAACAACTTGTCAAACTTAGTTCTTTTGCTCTGCTTTTATTATTAATGCAAATTAATTTCACAATGGCTCATCACTCACAATAATGTGCTTCTGGTGGCACTCCCAGCTCTTTTGTTCGTGCCACAACTTGTAGAAGAAACAGGTGCTGACTGATTTATGGGATTTATTGTTTTCTGTTGGAAGTTTAACCACCAACACTGAAAACACAGTGTCAAGTACCATGAGCTCTTCATGATTACCCAGAACTGCAAGTATTTGTCATCATTAAGTGGCACTAGTCTATGCCTTGATAGTTTGGATGCTTCCAAGATGAGGCTTTGATTGTGCATCACCCTGCATCACTCAAGGACTTTTACAGGGGGTTCGGATTTTGTCATCTTCCACTTGTATTCCCTTCCATATTTTCCAACCACTTTTTCATCTTTGCACAATGAAAAGATGAGTGGAGAAAAAACAGAATAGCTGCACAATGTCTTTTGATGGAAGAAGCCCTTGGTCTGCTCCCATATGGTTTCAGTTCCAACCCAGAAGCTGTGAAGGGTCTTCTCTTTGTTTCTGCTACGGAGGGCTTTAATAAAGTATCAACTGTTTCATCTTCTCAGTTTATATAAAACATTTTGAAAACAGATGTTGACATATGTATCATATCCTAGACTACTCCTGTTATTAACGATAGTTAAATCAATCCATTTTTCAACAACTAACATTATGCCCAGAACACCTAAGAATATCAAACACCTTATTTTCAGTGCTAATGTTCAGTGCAACACCAACTGACATGTTTAAGGGCTTCACTTGCCCACTTGCTATAAAGTATACAACATTTTGCTGCAACAATGTGTGTCTCTAGCTTGCACCTTTACCCCCCCCCCAAAAAAAAACACCTCCACAGAAATTTCTGGAGTTGCAATAGCCATTAATTCAGTACAATGGAAATTGTTATAGTTCTGACAATATTAAATTGTCTGATTTGAGGTAAGCCCCATGTAGTCATATCTGATATTTAAGATGAAGACATGGGGCACCTACCAAATGGTACTAGTTTCAGCCACGATGTAATCGATTACCATGTAATCGAGAGTCCCTTTTTTGGAAGGGGCAAGGAGGCATGCCCTAACAAGGTCAGTCCAAAAATATAAGAGGGAACATAAATTCTTTATTTTTTTTAATCCCTAAACTGTTAATATGAAATTTCGTAGGCTTGATTTTTCTCAGAAAGGGCTACGCCTGTAAACCCAATTCTGCCAAGATATAAAAAAAGTTATCAGCGCTTTCCTTTAAAAAAAAATAAATCAAACTTTCAAGTTACCTAGCACAACCCTCTTCACATATATTTGGCTGAAATACGCCACGGAAGTATGCCTGCAAAATTTATCTGGACTCAGCAACAACTTTAACGCTTGATAAAACATCCCGGTCAGTTTCTCGTTGCCACAAAAAGTTGGCCAGCAGACACATTTGCTAGAAGAAACCCTTCTGCAACAAGGGAAACGTGCTCGCCTACGGCAATCGCGCATGCCCACTGCTCTTTGCAAGGAGGCAGAGGGAAATTCCTTCGTTACGTCGAACGCGCTTACGGAGCATGCGCAGTCTGTTGAGGAGCCCTAGCTAGAACTTTCCCAAGCCAGCCGCGCGTTGCGTGCGTCCTTTCAACAAACGATGACTCAGCGGTACGCACGCCCCGCCCTCCAGAGGGTTTCAGGCCTCCGCCCCACCCGGAAGTAATAAATATCGCGAGGCTTGTCGCGTCTCGCGCGGGCTTGGGGGCGAAATTTAAAACGGACTCGGCCGCTGGGTCTGGCAGCGGCTGTTCCTGGCCGGTCTCGTTGCCTGTCGGTTTTCTCAGGCCGACGCTCTGGGTTTCGGGGGAAAGGAGAAGAGGGGCTTGTGCCCCAGCTCTCTCTCGTAGAGGCCTGTCCAAACGTGAGTCTTCGGTTGCCTTTTCGGGCTCTGGGGTCTTCCACGGCGGCCCAACTGCCGCAGGGCAGTTATTCCTCCTGAAGGCGTGGCCGTACTGCGAAGAGATGCACCTGCTGAGTTATATGGCCAAGGCATGAAAATCTCCTCGCCACAGTGTCCCTTATGGGCAGGCTTCTCCGTCGAGAATAAGTCTCTGCGCCAGGTGTCCCTTTCCCTTCTAGTGGGGACGGTGCTCTCCTTCCTCGTTTCCCCCTTTCTTCCCCCTCACGCTGCCTTTTTCTTCGGGTGAGGCTGCTCTGTCATTCTTGCCTTCTAGAGGGCTAAAGAAATAAGGGGCGCCTGTGTCCGTGTCTCCATGGGGCTGTGGGGCCACTTTGTCTCCTGCCAAAGAATTGGGTTTTGAGGATGCTCAGTAATCCGAGTGTGATACTTGGGTAGAGAAAGTAGGGACCACAGCCAGAGGGAGGTGTTATTCTTGTTGCCCAGGTGCACGCCCTCTTGAGGAGGCCCACCTTGGACCCAGTAGGTTTCGATAGTTGTAATCCAGCTCCTAATGTTCCATTTCGAAGTGACTGACAGGGTGATGTTTGACCTCGCAAGCATTCCTGGAAGAAGAGGATTATTGAGAGCAGATTGGCTTTATTATTATAATTACGTTGCATTTATATCCCAATCCCTTTCCTCTTATGAGAAACCTAGGGCATTTCACATAGCTTTACTTTATCCTTGAAATGACAGTCCTATGAGGGACATTAGGTTGAAAGGCTGTGACTGGCCCACAGTCACCCAGTGAGCTTCATGGATGAATGCAGACTAGAATTCAGATCTCCCAGTCCATACTTTAATCACAGCACCACCCTAGCCTTTTTGGCCTGAGCACAAAACAAAAGCAGCACTGATGGCCACAGCTGATGACTTTCTTTGAAAGAATGATGGAAGAAGTGCTACTCTTGCAGTGTGGTGTAGTGGCTGTCCTGAGTGGGTTAGTGCACTTCTTTATAAAATAGGTAGGTAGGTTGTGTGTTCTGCCTGAGCCAAGACTGCCCTTGAAAGCAGAGAACTACTTGGTTTGGAGAACTGGCCAGCTATGGTTGGTTCTCCAGCTACAGTTATTCCAAGCTGGGATGGCCTGATCCTTTTGCAGTCTTGCATGAGACAACCTGGTAATAGAAGTCTTTACTGTTTAAAGTCTGCTTGTTGTAACCATTTCTGTGTGAAACTTCCTCTGAAGATCATCCAGAACCTGGTTTTAGAGTGCTGCGCTCTCTGTATTGACAGTGGTAGCAAGATATGAACATATCACATGAGTTTTGAAATTTCTGCCCCTTCTGCCAGTAATTTACTGTGTCCAATACAAAGTGATAGTTTGTATCACTAGAAAGCCCTAAATAACCCAGAGATGCCATCCACAGCACTGAACAGCCTGGGATACTTAGGTTGTGGTGCTCTTAAGGAATGTAGCATGTGGGACTACCACATATGGCAGAGCATTTTCGGCAAATGCTCCAGGCTCTGAAGTTCATTGTGTGAAGATTTGACTGTCTATGTGGCAGTCCAAGACTTATTTGTGTGGACTTTAGTCAAGCGAAGGTTTAGTCAAGTGTCTTGTTTGTTTTCTTATGTTGCTGGTTCTGTTGTATTATATAGTTGGGATTTTAGAACTGAGGTGGGCAATTTCAATAGATCTAGAGGATATTTTTGCTTTGTGGATTCTCCCTGCAGGCCTCACTTATTTTCTGTGGCACAGAAAAAAATACTATTCTTTTAAAAAATGCACTGAAAAGGTCAGAATTAGCTTTTTTTTTTTTTTGCAAGCTATGTAATAGCTAAAAAGTACTAACATGGTAAAAGAAAAAGAAAAAAAAGATAGACCAAAATAGCCATTCTGTTGTTTGTTCTGCACAATTCTGAGGGCACATGCAGGGTGCGTTGTTTGCCCCTTTTTTAGAGCAATGATTTTAATATGCTTTATACTACATTTTATGTAAATACTTAGCTTGTAAGATAGGGTGAGATTTGACGGCTACAAGCAACTATGACATGACTTTCAGGGTAAGTTGCACTTTTCACCCAATATGGTAATACACAAATTATAACTATGTTGTAATGCCTTACTTTCTCTCTACCCTTTCTTCATCATTCTAAGTAAGAGAGAAACAAGTTATGAGCTGAAAGGAAACTGGATCCTTATATAATTGCAAGGAAGGAAATGAAGTATAACTAAAAAAAAAACTGCAGGAAGAAAATAGTTGTATAGATGCTTCTTCAATAAAAACTTGTCCTTGAAAAATAGTACAGAGGGAAAAAGAGCAATCCACACATCTGTCTTTTATCTCTTCTGTCATGCTCTGAAAAAAAATTCATCTAAAGATTTGCAAAATGGGTGAGAGATCAAATTTCTACCTGTTTTTTTCATAATGGCAACATCCAGTTTAAGTGGGAGGTAGGCGTTATAGAGCTTGACATTATACAAGTATTACTTAAGACTAGGGAGTAGGTCCATTTATCTTCTTGGGGATTACTTCAAAATAAGAAACTTGGAATTGCACTGTAAATGTAACTAGAGGAAATGTATAAGCTAGAGGCAGATGAAACTGAATTACTGTAGGTTTTAGTCATAATTGAGCCATCATTGCAGGATAAGATAGAAAGGGCTCAGTCTTATTAATTGTGCCCTTACCATTCTGAACTTCCAAGATTTCTTATGCCATGCCTGACTGAGCCCAGGGGTGGCAGAGGCAACCTTCACTTCTATTTCTCTGTGGCAATTTTTGCTAGGCTAGTGATGGCACTTTGAAGGGGGTGCAGGGGAGGCTCAGGATGTCTCATGTCTTGACCTCTTGAAAGAGCTCCTTTCCTCCATCAGTCACATTTCTGAAGCAGGATAATGACCAGTATGGTTCTTTCCACATTAGTTATGATGGAGAGGGCGCTGACACCTGACACTTCAGGGTGCTGCCTCCAACCTTGGTAGCTTTTTTTTATAAGAGGACCACTCTCTACAAGTGCTTTGTTATATCATTGAAGTGGTCCTTGATAGGGCCACAGCTGCTCACCCATTGGATCAAACAGTATGTACAGCAAATGCGCATTAAAATGTTCTAATGATATAATCTCCACAGAACTTTTAGTGTTAATTTCTCTAACAGAATTGGCCATGAACTTAACCTAATGTACTGAGCAGACCTGAACTTCTTTATAGTTGAGTAAACAGTGATTGGGGAAAACTTGCTTTATTATTGTGGCTTGTTATGTATTGGAAGGGGAAAAGACTGGAACTATCTTGGCCGTGGTTACAGAGAGCCACTGTTCCTTGACAGTCTTGTAGGCTTTGGCAGCCATGGAAATACTGAACAGCTGCTTCAAGTAGATTGAAAGGGATTTGCATTTCAATTATCGCACCATGTGATTTTTACCTATTCTGGGAAACAACAGTGAGGGTGGTGGAACAAGATGAAGATACTTAAAGCAGAAATAAGCAGATTTTCTCATTAAAAGTTATTGGATTTATCATGGCAGTATCATAAGATGAACAGACTAGAAGGTAAGTCACTAGGATTTCATTTTTACAAGAAATTATATAACTGAAAACATTTGAGTGGTTTAGTTTTCAGAACTGTATTTTGTCAAATGTACTGTTAATGCAAAACTTCTGCTGTAGGCAATAATATCACTCCTGTTTCAAAGTATTTACAATTTATGCAGGTCTACCTCGATTAATGCATATATCAAAACCATGTTAATCAAATCTAAATCAATGGTAAAAATTACAATTTGACCATAATCAATTACTGTATTAACAATTAATCATGTGGTACTGTTTTAAGAGACAAAATATGATTCCAAAGTAAATGTTTTATTCAATGCACTTTTTCAGAAAAAAGTAATAATTAAAGTTATTGAGTCATGTGCATAGTTTGTGGTAAATTTAAAAAGGCATATTAAAACCATTGCATATATCAAACAATTGTTGCAATTAATTTTACCATGCTAATCAAAACTTGCATTAATCAAAACTGTGTTAACTTCCAGTTGATGTTTATGTTATACTAAGCTTTTACAGATTACCATATATTTGCATTTGTATGGATAATATATTGTTTTTAGTGCTACTTTAGGAGTCTCCAATAGCAGAAAATACTCAATTTCTGCTTTAAAACTCTTAGGTGTGGCTAATGGTCAGTAATGGAGATGGTGATGTAGATTACAATACAGCATAAAGCTACCTAGCTGAACTGTGTGGAAGAGCAGAAAGAAACTTGTGTTTACTGCCTTTACGTAAGTAATAGTTAATATTACCTAGCTTTTTACTACTGAATGATGCTTCCATTGACTGGCTTCCCTTGTCATGCTAAACCCTGGTGAGTTGTTATTGTGGGTGGTTGCAGAGTGGCTTAGCAAGAAAGCTGAACCCAAATGGGTTTTCCTCTTACAAGTTGTTTTGCAAAAGCAAGCCGCCCTGACAAGCCATAGCGTGTAGTAGGGTAATTGAGTGTGGCTTATTCTCAATGTGGTTTAGTGTGACATCTCAATCCAGGAGACAGTTTTTGTGTGTGTATTGTCAGAAGTGGCTAGAGAGCCCACTAACAGCAGCAAACCTTGCTAGTGTTCCACCCTTTTATTGTTCTGTCATAAATGTTTAAATGTCCCCTTGGTTCTGCTGCTTTGTCATGAGATTGATGTATAGTTTCCCTTTGTTTCTGCTTAGCCATGATACCTGCACAAGTCTTCCCTTTATCTACTGACATGAATGTTGTGCAATTTCCAATTGCAGTGAAATAAGAACACCTCCACCCAAGTGTTTTCTTTCTTGCAGCCACCAGCTATATGGCTCGTTGTCAGGTATACATAAAGGTTACAGGGATCACAAAAATGACCAAGGTTTGTGGTAGAGCATAGAACAGGGAACAGTTGTACAAATTTAATGGCAAGAAAAATAAAATAAAAATTTGAGAACACTTCTCTGTGTTCATAAGGGCTCAAACATTGTTTTCTATTTGTGATTTGTTGTGGGGTGGGAGGAATGTTGCCTAATGTGGGGAGAACATTCGCAACTGCAATGAACCAATTGCAGAAAGGGTGTTGACATAGGGAATGGGAAAATGGCATATGCAAGTACAGGCTTGGAGGACTGAAGGTGGTTTAGCGTGATGTGTGAGTATATCTATGTAATACTAGCATAAGCAAAACTGACAGTACAGGTTGGGCGCACATTCAAATTTAGATGTGATGTCATCTGCGTTGTTAGAAATGGCTAGTATCCAATGTTAGTCTTATGTAGAATAGCTCCATTGAAATAAATGACAGTTAAAATAGTCACAGCTAACTTAGTCCTATATAATGAATTTGAAATGAATAGGGCTTAAGTCTGTAGGCTTGTTGACATGAAAGTGATGCGAGTAAAGCCTTAGAGCCCAGTTCCATCTTCTGTCACCAAGCCGAATTTTTTAGGAGCAGAACTAGAAGAGAATTTTAACTCTTGAACTATCTTAAGTTTCACTGCATGGATCCTAACCATCTGTTTGGACTTCTTAATCAAGTCACAAAACCAACACTACAGTTCAGAAAAGGCTTTTTTTTCTCCTTTCATTTTTCTGTGCTCCATGATGACCTTTTAAAAATGCTTGGCAATTTACCTTGTACCCTTGTAGCTGCTCTAAAGTTTCAAGTGTCACTCCAAAGGTGTTAAGAGGGAAATTGAAATTAGTTGCAAGCTGCAGTATTATGCTTGTGGCTTGGGCGAAGTTCTGTGCCATGATATGGTAGTCCATATTCTATATTATCCTGTTTTGTTTCCTTTCCTCCTGGCCTTCTACTGTCTTGCTCTTCCTTGCTAGCCTTATAGAAAACAATAGCAATTCAGCATCTCTTTTCTCCTTCCACTTCCTCCTCTTGTTAGAGAGGCAGCAGCACTTTAATGTGAGAGCCAGAGAAGCAGTCTCTGTGATTTGGCCCTATTCTGTGAGTACTGATCACATAGCTGCCTTCCTCCATCATTAAAGAACTTCTGCCTCTTAATGGAAAACTATCATGTATATATACTGTCAGGGCAAAATGAGTAAAAGCTTTGCAACAGTATGGCTGCTAAAAGCCTGACACCGTAAGAGCTGCTTTACACTTAAAATGGAGTGCCTGATCAGATCCCATGTTACAAGTCCTGCTAATGCTTGTTTGTCTTGCTCGGGTACACTTTTACATACTACAAGTCTTGCTAATTGTTTTCTTGCCCTAAAGGTTCTTTCTGTTTTGTGTTGTCCGAACCCCGTTCAACCAAACTGCCTATATAATCTCCCACTCCTCCTCCAAAATAGTAACTGATAGATTATAAAAGTATTTTGTAAAGACTCCATCTTTGTAGTCCCATGGGGGGCTGCCTATATGCCACATAAATTTCCTGTATGTCTGAATAAACTGTAAATGTATACCACCAGTGGACTCTCGAAAGGTGTTTTTTCATTCATGTCAATACATATATCCTCAAATGTTTGTGATTGTTTCTCTTTAATCCTTGGTAGAAAATGAGTATGGTAACCATGAAAAAAGCATTCTCTCTTTTAATACTGTGGAAGCTGAACCCTTACTCTAAGGAGCTGGAGTAAGGCCAAAGCAAATCCCATGCTTTGGCCCTCTGATAAAATCACAAGTTTATCGTAGCCTTGTTAATAAAAGTGTAGTTACTTACATGACAGGCTTAATTTTTTAAATTGTCATTTGAGTACAGTGCCAGTGTTACAGAAAATGGAAACAGATAAAGACATAATTTCACGTCTTCGATGTCAGCTTAAAGAAGCTGAGGAGGAAAGAAGGAAGGCAGCAGAATATGGATTAAAGCTGGTGGAGAGTGAAAACTTGTTGCAAAACCGGTTAGATGAACTGCAAAATGAAATTGTCACTATAACAGAGGTAAACTTTTATTAAAAAAAACTTCAATACTTAATGGTGTTGGAGGAGCTGTACTACATTTATCTAGTGGCCAACTGGCATAGGTCCTTAGAGGGGTTGCAAATTTTTATCTTTCCATTCTTATTAATATGGTAGTATGGATTGCATAGCTGTTTGCTGTTATACTTCTTGGGTTGGTGCTTTAAGACTGAACTACTAACCTTTTTATGACTTTTTCATAACTTAAATACCTTAAATGTATTACATAAATTAAGGCTAGTGTTTCCTAGCTATTGCTGCCACCTTATGGAAAGTATGTCTCAAAGTCCTGTGTACCTTGGGATAAATGGAGTTCCTTTTCCACCCATAGGCTGTGTACTGGGATTTGTATTTTCCATTAGTAAATATTAAATAGATAATTTTGTGGTATTAACTTTGCTATTTTACAGCAAATTATTGATTTGCTTCCAAATTAATTGTATTTAAATGTATTTAAACAGAGCATATATGGGACTTGTTTTTTTGTGATGCCAGTCTAATGGGCTTTATTATTTTAGGTGCACTCTAATTTATAGATGAGGCTTTTTCCATCCTTGCCAAATTCTATACATTTGACTTGCCACCACACTATCCTAGTGAGAAAACTTCTTTTGCAGAATTTTGAACAAGAAAAGTATACTCTTCAGAGAGATGTGGAATTGAAGAATAGAATGTTGGGAAGCCTAAGCCTTGAATGTGAGAGTCTTAAACAGCAGCAAAGCATACAGCTAGATGTACTGCGTGGACAACTGCAAAGACTACATGGACAGGAAATAAATGAACTTAAGAATAAGGTTTGTAATATGCATACAAAGGATATATACATGTTGCTGGCAATAATTCTCTACCATAAACATGACTGTGGATATGTTTCTCTTGTTGACAAAGCTCTTTTTTGCATTTGAATAGACTTTCATCACTAGTATAATACTAGATAACTAATTACTAGCTACCTATTAAATCAATTGCCATTGCTTCATATGCTATGTTGTATAAATTTATTTCATTGATTTGGGATCTTATTTTTCTCAAATGGCACATTCATATGAGAAACAGTTTTTGTAAGCCATCCTGAGGCTTGTTGCAAAGAATGGGATAGAAATGTTTTAATTAAATTAAAATTAAATTCAGAAGTGCTTGAATTGGGAAGACAGTACTGGGTGTGGGATGGTTGACTTCTGTTGGCATATATTGGCTGGTTGTTGGTTTCGATAGGAAACCACTTGTAATCTTAGGTACAGGCTTTGATGAATACATTTGCCATGACAGGCAGTTCTCCTGCTGCTGGCTTTCTTCTGGCGCAGGGGGAAGCTGGGGGAAACACTGGATATTGGTTTATGAAGATGCACAAAATGCTGTCAGGAAACAGTGCACATTTCCCCTAGGGGAGTATGGTGGTGGGCTCTAGTGAGTACAGTTGTTGGTTTTGCTAGCCAAGCCAGCCAAAAAATTGTTGCTTTTGTATGTTGCCTTGAGTTCTATGATGGAAATGGTTCAAAGTTTGATATACATTTAATACTGGACCTAGATGGCAAAAGTTAGTTGGCAAACATGATGAGGGACTTATTTAAGAGACTCTAAACACAATGTGTTTTCTCTGGAAAATATTCTGTTTCTAAGGTGGAAAAACTGAAATTGGAGTTGGATGAAACTCTGCTTAGCGAGAAACAGCTGAAGCACAAAGTAGACCACCTGAAGGATGTAATTGCTTCCAAATCAGAAGAGCTGCGTGTAATGTCAGAACGTGTACATGAAACTATGTCTTCAGAAGTACTTAATCTTCAGCTTGAGCTACTGGCACTTGAACAGGCAAAGGTATGTAGAAACCTGAGTAATTCTACTTGGTGTCCTGAAGGTTTGTGGATGAACTGTACAATGGTAGCTGAGAGATGAGTTTGCCTGCTACAGAATCTTGAACTGTAAGTAACTATGTAGGTTATCATGTTTCACTGAAGACAATTTGACTAGTAATCAGCTCTGTATCAGGTTGCAATCACTCCCTTTTTGTACAGATGAGTGAAAAGATCAAGTAGTATATTAGAGAACTTCAACCATTTAGTACATTTACTTGCATTGTCCTTTTGTGACAGGCAGGCCTTGAGGACAAGTTACATGATCTGCAGTACAATAAGGAGCAGTTGGAGCTTGGAAACAGCAATCTAACTAATCGAGTGGCACATCTTGAAGAGGAGAAAGAGGAGAGAGAGAAGGATCTTGTTTCTTATTGTAATGCATTAGAGGTGATGTATCTTTCTTGTTGCATGTAGAACATAATACTATTTGCATTTAATAGAAAGGGTTTTTTAACTGGTTTTAGCTGTCTTGCTAAATTTTTTTTTTGCATGATCTGAATATTTGCCATTCTGTCACTACAGTATTACACAGTACAGCTGTATGTATGGTGAAAGGTGTGTTATAACTTGGAACGCAAGAAGGTGGGGAAGAGTCCTTGGTGGTTCCTGTTATAAGTAGGCAAAACATTTTGGTGATAAGCCACTTGCATTGGTTCCTCCTTGGATTCTGCATAGACAGTTTGGATGTACTTTTGGTTTCTGCTTGTTCCATTAGGGGTATGTTTCCACTAGGGGCTGTGGACAGTATACATTGAAGAGTGAAACTGATTATTTATTAGATTTATATCCTGCTTTTTTCTTACAAATTCAAAGCACCTTTCACCTCTACATGCTCTTACCTTGATCCTTGATCTTTCTGACTAAATTAAGTACCAGCAGTGTTAACAGGAACTGGGTCTTTTCTTAAACCTTTTAGATCCACTATCCTGAACAACCACAGGCCAATCTCAAATTAGTCTTTCTAATCAGTGAGAAATATCAAATGTTATGACTTGGCATATATAATGATAGATACATAGCACTGATGATAAAACTGGTAGGATCTAAGACCCTGGAAGCTAAATTTGTAGGCCCAGAACAGTATGTAGTGAGACTGCAGTGTTATATTACAGTCTGTCTTTAGTTGTGATAACATAATAAACCTAAACTTTCTTGACTCAAATTTAGAAAGAGCGTGAGATGAATAGAGAACTTCAGATTCAGCTTGACCATGCACTGCAACAGGCCCTGGACCCTTCTAGTAAAGGCAATTCTTTATTTGCTGAGGTACTGATATTTTTGCATTTAATAGAAAGTTCACCTGCCAATTAAATTTAGGAACAATATTTTTAGTTTTAAATGCCTTATATTTGGTTGCTTTTGAAACAATTTACTCAAGTCATGCAATTTACTAATAGGTGACTATTTTAAGGCTTTAAGCTGTTAAGCAAATGTTATAATTGATGAACTAGACATGCCACTTGAGCCAATCAAATAAATTCACTTGCTGTTCTTTCCTAGTTGAGATACTTCAGGAGTGACTATTATTGCAGAAGCCTCTGGTGATGTTAGGATGATTCTAGATGAAGTGTTTGTGAGCTCTGAAATGTATTACACACACATCAATAGGACAGGAGCTGTGCCTTTCCCACTAGGCCAAACAGTCCAGTAGTAGTGCATCAAACAGTCTATAAGGCATCAGAATGTCATTGTAATGAAATACTTCATCACTGAGGTAATTCCTGTCCCTCTCACAGTGTTTGATCTGCAAGGAAACCTATCTGAAAAGAAAGCCCTGTTAGATGCTTGCTAGGAATATTATAAAGGCATGACTTAAGACCTTTGAAGGATGAGTCAGTGAGAAATGCTTCAACAAATATGTTGGTTCTTGTCAAGGGCTTGTCAATTAAACACTTGTTTTTAATTTAAAAAAATCCCAATAAATGCCTGCTGGTAGCAACATGGGATCACTAAATGGCCCATAGTCTTCTAAATTGCAAGGTGTTCTTTCAAATGCCTTTTGTGGAAATAGTTCAGTTGCAACTAATTGTTTTGGTAGTAAATGGGGAAATCTTGCCATATGGCAGAGATGCTTCTGTTGATTTGCAAGTTTATAGGGCAAGATATCTGTCACTATCTTACAGGAAGGTTTGAAATTATCGAATTATCTGTAATTTTTCACAGGGAATTATTTAACATGGTATTAATTTCTAAATATGTTAAATCTTAAATGATATGTGCACCAACTTAACATGTTTGCAAAAAAATGTTTAATAGGTGGAGGACCGTAGAGCAGAAATGGAACGTCAGTTGATTAGTATAAAAGTAAAATACCAGATGCTACAAAAACAGAATACTTTCACCAGAGAACAGCTGCAAAGAATGAAGGTATGATTAATTCAAATTTTCCATGGTAAAAGTACAAACGAATATAAGAGTGCATGTTTGTGTTAGAGTGCTGTACTTCCTAATAACCAAGGCATTTCTATTTCAGGATGGGATATGTGTGCCTCTCCAGATGTTTAGAACCGTCTCTGGAGAGCCAGATGTTCACCATTCCTGTTGTACTCAATTAACAATTATAGAATTATTCTTGAAGTGACTTGAGATGTGAGGACAGTTCTAAAAACATTTAGAGAAATGAGCAGTGTTTAAGAAACTGAGCTGAATCAGAGTCTCTCCATTTCTGTAGCATTTAAAATTGTACATACATTTCTTCTGATATTTATAGCTGCTTCAAACATGTTGACTCTCAAACAATAGGCTACTGTACATGATCAAGCAGCCCACCATGTAGTGTGGTCATTGTGCAAATAGGGTCAATCAGTAGGTTATATCACTTTATAAAATTGCATATAGTGCAGCATTTCAAATGTTACTTTAAAAGGTAGTTCGACAAGTAGCATGGGTATAAGAGGGGAAGGTGGCTTTGGGTTCACAGAACTTGCATTATGGTTCTTGGAATCCTGGTCATCCTGGTTAACTTCAAATACTTGGTTGCTTGAATCTGTGCTGTAACAGAATATCTGTAGCAATGCTGACCCAATATCTGATTTGGCTGTAGCTGCAGATGGCTACACTCCTACGGATGAAAGGTTCTCAAGGAGAACATGATCAGCTGGAGCGTTTGCAAAGCATGCTTCAGCAGAAGAATGGTGAAATAGAAGAACTTCTCATGAAAGTGAAGCAACTGGAAAAGTCCACAGTAAGAATGTTGTCTGTTAAGCCACTTTTTCCAAAAATACGTTGCCAGTTAGGTGAGGAATGGACTGGAATTGGGTTGAAAAATTTTACCCAGTAATCACAGGATCCAGGAATTGCTTCTTTGCTATATCAGTATAGTTGAGTATTCTGTGCTTGGGATCCAAAGATTATTCTAAACATCTGTGGATAAGCTGATTCCTTTGTATTCTAGGGCTAAACAGTTGCAGGAAAGGTCACTGGATAAGGTCTGGTTTAAAGGAAGCAACACATCTTAAAGGCCATCCACAGTCTTGCACACTTACTGTTCCTGGTTATCTCAAATTCATGATTAAAGGGATGGGATTCTGACACTCTAAACTCTACTTTGGAAGGAGGAATTTATCAGTGTCTATGCAACATTTAACAGCTACATCCCTTATTTGGGGAGCACGATGAAGACTCGCTATGTTGTTTCCATTAATTACTGCAGCTTTTGTACCTGTAGTAGTCCTTCTAGCTCTATTTTGCTGAGTCCAGTTCTGGCAAGTACATGGCAGAGAAAAATGCTTTTTTGGTGGTACAGGGCGAATTGTGTTCAATTCTAAATGCTAGGCCAAGGAACAGCTCAATTTTGAATGCAAAGTTCATATAACAGTTCTTACTCAAAGGTTTAGAGTTCTGTCTTTCCTAGCTTGATTCCAAAATAAATAAAAATAAAGGGATATTATGCCCTTAAGCATGTAACCTACTGGCTTTGTGTTGATCATGTCATAAATTAAGTTACCTCTTTCCATAGTATCCTCAATGTTTACTGATTCTTTTCTTATAAAGAATGCCCCACTATTATTACATTTTAGTTGGATGTACTTTTTCTATCATGTTACTTGTCATTTTCTTTTACTATTAATATTCAAACCAAGTTTACTGAGTTAAAGGCAAAAAAGATTTAATTTTTAATTCCAATGTCTCCTCAGAAGGTATCGGAAAACTCTAGAGAACTGAAGCTTTTTAATGGTTCAGATTATACAGAGGTTGAAGATGGCTATTATACTGACTTGCTTCAGATGAAACTTGAAAATTCAAAGTAAGTCTCATGAATTTGAAATGTAGAATAGAAACTGGCAGCTTGATTTCCAAGCATTATTTACATATACCGGAATATCAGTTTGGGTACTCTAGCCTGATACTGGAATGTCAGGATTGATACCTTAGGTTTTATCTGTTAGCTTATTGTAGCCTATGTTGAAATAAGTACTTTGTACTACTTATACAAGAGAGATTTTCTTGGTCTTTTAGGTAAGTGATACATAACTGTGTTACTAAGTAATAACTGAGCCAATTCTGTGGTTTCCTTGTGCAAGTGCTTGCGCTAATGTTTTATCATATTTGCTCCAAACATTATCTAGCCATGACCTCATGTTAACCCAAGAGGTAAAAACATAGGAGTACTTGTTGAAATGAGGCAATTTGGCAATACTGACAGCCAATTCCACAGTGTGTTTGCAACTCTTCCATCATCCATCAGCAATAACATACTGATGCTCCTACATGATTATCCACACATGGAAAACACCAGTTGTGACAAGGCAACAGCAGAGACTGAAAAAACTGGGCAGGTTTAGTGCTGAAAAGCAATAACTGAATGAAAATAGTATAGCACTCCTCAAGTACCTGAAATGTTGTTCTTTCAGGGAGGAGGGCAGGATCTCTTCTCAATCACCTCAAAGTACAGGACATGGAATAATGGGTTCAAGGCAAAGGAAGCCACATTCCAGCTGGACATCTGGAAAAAAATTCCTATCTGTGAGAGTACTACAACAACTGAACCAATTAACTAGGAAGGTTGTAGGCTCTCCTGCACTGGAGACATTCAAGATGCAGCTGGACAGCTTTCTGTTAAGGATGCTTTTACTTGGAGTTTTGCATTGGTTGCACCTAATTGTCATATTCCAATTCTACTGTTTTATTGATTCTGTGAGACATTGAAACATCCTGAGCACATTAGGATAATTAACCAGTAGTGTGGAAGAAAAGATTACTATAAGCAACTGGCTATCTATGAAGAGAGAAATGGAGGGGAAAGTTTCACCAAATAACTCCTCTTCCTGCTGGAGATATCCAACAATTTAACTCATGCAGCACTGGGCACTGGCACAGCTTTTCTTTGAAGACTTTTGGGTGTTGACAAGTGGAACAACTGTGTCAGCATCCTGGCTCCCATTTTGCATCCTCTATATTCTAGTATACTCTACAAGTATAGAATATTGATATTTGATGCTAGTGCCGTTTCAGGGCAGGAACGGATTGCAGCCATGGTAGAAAACTACTGGGGAAAATGCTGTAAAGTGGTGTTTGATTTCTAGAGAAAAAGATCTCAAGACTTTTCTGAAAAAAAGTCTGCGAAATCTTGTTTCTGCATTCATCACCGTCTACCAGATGTTCTGAAGGGTGATTGCAGATACTTTTTGTCTCTAATGCAGCTGGCAATAATGCAACTCCTTATAAGCCCTGTGGCAGGTGTGGTGGGAGAGGGGCGGAGTGCTGGGTCCAGCTCCAGGAAAGAGTACCAAAGTACTTTGGTAGTACAGTACCAAAATTTGGCCTTCAATTTCCTGAAGTATTTCCACTCCCATGAACCAGGTCCCCATTTTTTCCTTCATTGTCACAGCGTTTTGTAATTTATTTTTAATTCGTTTTGGTGGTGTTTTTGAGTGAGAGCCCACAGAGAGAGCCCACAAGTGTTGTGTTTTTCTTACTGTAACAGCTAGATCATGATTAATATGAGTTTGAATGATGCAATATTCAATTTAGTGTGAGTTGTACAATGATACCAGGTCATGTTTAATGTGAAACAAAATTCAGTTAATGTGAGGCTAGTACATGTGCACTTGTGGTTACTAAGTTTCCATCAGGGCTTTAGACGCTGCTACTTCTGATTTGCTCTACCTGTCTCTGAACTGTATGGTTTATGAATCTAATTTGCACTTTATTTTCTTAGATCTATGAAAAGGACAAAGATAGGATTTTGCTGCTGTTTTGTGAATGCACAATTAGAGAAGTTTGTGAATCATAGAGAAGGAAGTGGCAGCAAAATAGAGCAGTTCAAGCAGATAAGAGGCAGTTTTTATCCTTTTGATAGTTTGTCACACAGACAAGAAGTGTGCCATTAAAGCAATATTGTGTTTTGACATTATTGATGTATAGTCAATAGATCACTGAATCGAGCAAAAACTACATCACTGTTACATTACACTGCACAAAGCATCAATAGTGTGTATAACACCTATGCTCTCAACTATTCTGTGATTTTTTAGGTAATTTAAATTATATTTTTATCCTTTGCTGTAATATTTTGTTAATAAACATATAAAAACTTAAGTTTAAAAAAATTATTGCCCATTTCCATCCAATGACCTTATTTTACATAGGATTATAACTTGAATTGTGTGAGTTTGAATAATGTGACCATAATGTGGGATTCATTATGCACACTAATTGAAACCTACCTGTACATATGTCTCCTCTACCTTGTGGCATTCCAGGTTACTGTCACTTCCTGATTGGTAAAAGTCCCATAGGAGAAATTACCTCATGACTTCCCCTTGGTGGGATGCTAAGGAGGTTACAGGCTGCCAGAAAGATGATTGTATAACAATGGACAGATTGCTTAGGGGCTCAGGTTAAGCACTTTCTAAGCAAGCACAAGAATCTTGAATCCAGCTCATTGGAATTTCCCACTTTTTGTTTTGTTTGCAGTATCTTTCTTTATGAAATTGCCCAAGAATGGTTTGAAAAATGTGTAGGAAAAATCTTAATTACAGTGCTGAGGGAAAAAAAACTTTTCTGATCACCACAGCTGCTACTGTGGCTATCTTGTGCTTGCATGTAGGTAGCAGAAAGTGCCATTGGGACAGATGGTGAAGGAGGATGCCAGAAAACATCCTTTAGTGAAGATAGCTGTAGAAAGATGATAGCTGTAGATTTTTACAACAGGTTAAGCTTTTTAAAAATGGTACATTTACAGGCAGAATAAATGGGAGAAGAGAATATATTCATTGGTACTAAAACTAAACTGAAATCTAGCAAGTTCAGGCCTGATGAGGACCCTGAGTACTTAATGCTTATGCAGTTGTATACCTTTTAATATTCATACATATCTCTTTATTTTTGGGCAGTAAAGAAATAGAGAATTTGAAGAGTGAATTGTCATTACAACGGATGAAAGCTCTATTTGAAAGTCAGCGAGTCTTGGAGATGGAGCGGAAACTTTTTGCAATTGAAAGACAGTTTGAGTCTTCTCAGAGTGAAAACATAAATCTGCATGTTCTGCTGGATGAATTGAAAATTAAATATGAACCTGAAGGTAACTTGCTTTTTTCTAATCTATAAATGTGAAAGAAGTTGTGAAAGAATTGATAATGATTAACCAGGAAGAAATGGGGAATCTTTTGCAACATAATCTGAGCTTTAAGCATCCTGCAAAAAGTAACCTAAATGAAGCCAACTGCATGTGGTTGCTTCCCTTGCCCTTTGGTGTGAGATGATGAAGACAAAGGACAACATTCCTATTAAACAAGTTTAAGCAATTCAAATAGGAAAACTGAGGGGCTTGCCTGTCAGCAGTCTTTTTCTCAATATTCACCTCATTGTTTCAAGATTTTCTCTGATCTTCCTAATTCTTAGTTGTGTTTTGCGGTTCCCAAAGGGTCCTAGTTATAAAATCTCTTAATTAGAGCCTCTAGGATAGTGATGGCGAACTTTTTAGAGACTGAGTGCCCAAACTGCAACCCAAAACCCACTTATCACAAAGTGCCAACATTGCAATAAAACCTGAATACTGAGGTTTTGGTTTAGAAAAAACAGCTCATATATTAACATCTTTTGTCTTAAAAGAAAAACACAATAATAGAGCTTCCAATGATACAAACAGCTTTTTATTGAAAGGTAAAAGTTTACATTTGGCGTACTTTTTGCACAATTTGAACTTTGCTGTTGTATGCATGCTGATAATTTGTCAAACCTTAGCTCAAATATGCCAGAAGGACAGCACAACATTAAAAGAATCTCAGTCTCTTAATTAGAACATCTCTTTGCTAAATCTTAGATATTAAATTTCATTTTTTCATAAACTCAAAGCTTAAAATCTTGTGTTAATAAAAACAAATGTATTAAAACTCACAGCCAATCCCCTTGGCCAGCAATGGAAAAGCTCGGACGAGTTGTGGCTAATGAGTTGTGGCTCGTGATGGCATCACCTGGCACTGCTACTCCTTTCTGAGCATGTGCTAGACCCCTGTGTGCGCTGTTATCCGATGCTCGGGAGACTTGGCTCACGTGCCGACAGAGGGCTCAGCGTGCCCGCTGCAGCACACGTGCCATAGGTTTACCACCACTGCTCTAGGACTTGAGGCAGTTTCACAACTTGATGCATTTGCTTTTATTTTTATTTAAAATGTTTTTAATCCCTTATATTTGTGGGCTCTCTAGATGGCTTACAAAGGGACACTAACTGTGGAGTCGAACTTGTGGCGAATCTGAGTGACTTTATCCCTAAAGTGCTGTGCAAATTCATCATAGCAGGCAACCAAGGGTTCAACAGGATCTGTCTGGAGCCCAGTTTGCAAAAGGCTCCGAAACACTCAGAAAAGCTCTGCTGGATGGCACTGTGAGGATGCAATACTGAGGAAGAACAATTTCTTCTTTGCTGCCTTCATCACCAGAGTGTAGGCTCGATAATGAGCACTAAGCTGTGTCTGGTCAGAGTCATCACAAGTTTTTCTTTACCTGCACTCTAGCTGTCTCCCAGCTGCTTCAGTGCCCACAGCTCAGATATGTACCAAGGCATTGTACATGTACCAAGGTGCTTTTCTAATGTAATTGGAATAGAATAAAAGAGCATGACCAATTAGTGAAGCTGACACACAATCTACTGTTTAAGCTCACATCACTGATCAAATAAAACAAGGTCTGCCTTATTGCTCCAAAATCTACTTCATGGGTACTGGTGGTTTGGTGTAATATTTTATACAACTATTTCCTACTTGGAAAATGCCCTGCTATGACTTAGGCACTTTTATATGCATTCAGCTTTAGTGACACAAATGTTTATTTTATGTAAAGCTTTTTTATACTGTCCTTTACTAAAAATTCCGGGATGGTAATACAATGAAATAAAAGTACAGCAACAGGCAACAAATTACATCAGATAAAACCCCATCTTAAAAAACATTGACACTTAAAAATGGGAAAATAGGAAGGTTTTGGCCTGGCGCTGAAATGAAAAAAGTGTTGGTGCCAGGTACACCTCTCTGAGAAGCTTGTTCCACAACCAGGATGCCATTGCAGAGAAGGCCCCTTTCTGGGTAGCAACTCTTCTGATCATCTTAAAAGAAGGCTCCTAAAGGACCTCTGACCCAGATCCTAGGGGGCAGGCAGGTATGTATGGAAGGAGGTGCTCCTCCAAACATCCAGGTCCTAGGCAGCCCAGGGCTCTGAAAGATTCATTTGGTATAAAGCGAACAAAGATGCAACTAGACTGTCTTCCAATTAGAATGTGTCTGTGGGATTCAGGTGCGTTCAAGATTTTCCATCAGAGCTTTTCAGCCTGCCTTTCTTTTAAAGAAAAATAAATTAATACACTGAGTGCATGTGACTGCCTATACAGCAATCACATTTTCATTTGACCTGGAGAATTATTCTGGTTTGGCTTTGTCTTTGTCCCCTAGAATTAATGAAGCACCCAATCAATCTCGAGAAGGCTCCAGCTGACATTATTTCAGATAATTTGAATGGCAGAAGCTCCTCTTTGAGTGAAACCTCTTCCTTGTGGCCTGAAAATAAAGAAAATATAAAACAACATGACGATGCTCTGAAAACAACACTTCAAGCCATGTCAATGAACATAATTCACCCTCCAGCAATGGAACATAAAAGTAATCAGCAGGGAAAGAAGAAAGTTAGAATTAAAGAAGAACTTGATGTAACAGCTATATGTAAGAAAGATGGGAATGATATTGGACCATCTTATGCCACCAGGTCAGTGTCTTCTAATATGTATGTGCAAAGCAATCAGCACAGACCTGCATCTCTCTTTTTTCGCTGCATGAACTATGCTATCCACTTGTTCATTTACCTTCTCAGTGTTGCATGCAGTGTGCTTCCCCAATTCCAGCTGCCTAGTTTGAAATTTTCTAAATTCTTTAAAAAGGTAAAAGTAGCACAGAATGAAAAGGACCTGTAATTCATTGACTTGAGTCATCCTTACAGCTAAAGGGCTTTTTCGTTTTTTGAAATCATTGTAAACTAGTGCTTCTGCAGTACTGTCCATCTACATTAACAATTGTAATATTCATTGTATTGTGCTTTTCTGCTCATTACAGTGTAGGATAAAGATTGTGGCTAAATAAATTGCACCATTGACTTGATAATGCAGGCTTCCAAAAGCAATTTTCAGGTTTCAAACTACAGTACATCTAGAACATGTAATACAGACTGTGAAATCAAAGAGAAACATGGTAACTGTCTGAGCACTTCCAAATATGGAAGATTGTTAGATGCTCAGAAGGGAAGAATTTGTTATTTACAGCTTACTTTTCCTTTTATGTACTATTCCTTTTGACATCTATTCTTAGTACAACTTTTTATGTTAAAGCTTTTGGAAGGATAAGCATTATATGTTTGGCCTTCTCAGAGGGCACAAAGTACCTTTTCTTTGGTAGTAACATATAGAATGCTGCTAGACCTATTTTATTTATACTTTTTCATTACAGTGTATGCATACTTGTTTGTATAGGGCACAGCTTATCTGATTATAATGCATTATATGTCTGCTTATATGAACTGGTAATGAGGGTCTATTTTAAGGTGACCAGGAGTACAATCCAATTGTGCTGTCTGTAACCCTGTGTACTCAAGAGGCTTATGGCCATTCTATGCTGAGCATGAGGAGAATTGGAAGAAATCTGCATCTCTTTGTCCACCTGCCCTTCTGGAGTATCTTAGAGGAAGAGGGAAGGAGGGTGTAGTGGCTGTAGAATTTTTGTTATCCTGGCCTCTTCAGTCTCCTCCCCTTCCTCCAAATCCTCCCTTTTCCCTTTCCTTCTCCACCTCAGAGCATCTGGAATGTTTCTTTCTGTGGCAGCGTAAGAAGAAAGGGAAGAGCTCCAATTTCTTTGAGTTTGAAATGCTGTCTCTGACCTCAGATCTGGGAATGCAGATTCTCCTATGGAACCACAGATGTTGCCAGGGGGCCATAGGATTCTTCCATCTGGACAAAACAATATTTCCTAGTTGTAAAAAGGAGAAACATGTCTGGATAGTGGTGGCTTGGAATGGTAGGAAAAATTTGCAGAGAAAAAGTAGTGGAGTAGGAGCTAGAAATGGAGACTATTTTACAGGATGTTGAACAGAAGAATTTTAGGACATTTATGCTATCTAGATTTGGTTGTTGCTTTTGATAGGTTAGTGACAAGCCTGTGGCTGCATTTTTATTCTGTCATGTAAATAAGACATTTGATATGTTGCATAGTCATGTGCACTTGGGTATAATTACGCTTTTCTGCAAGCTGCATTCCTTTGGAAGATTTTTTTTTTTTTTACCATGGCAGCCACTTTCCTTCCATGAATAAACACAGTACTGATACTAGCACCTAAGTGGAGTGAGGGAGTTACTTTCCAAACATAATTAAAGTAGATGTGCATATATATAATTGGTCTAAGAAGCTAATCTTAAAATATACCTGAATGCTTGTCTTTTAGATGAAGGCACGTTCCATCCCTCTCTCTGCCCCCACCCCCAAGTTGCAATGAAAATTCTGGAATCTTGGGGTTGTCAACACACTGTCCGAAGGTCATTAAGGTATTAAGGTCCCAAGCTACTCCTAATTAGAAATGTAAAATAAACCAAACATTTACTGTGAATGGCTGCAAAGCAGCAGAAACCCGGTAGTTGTCCTTCCCCACACCTTTTCCTTGCTCATAATTCTTTTGGACCCATATCCCAAAGCATCCTTTAGAGGAAAGAGAGAAGGCTGGGCAGCTGGAGGTTGGAGTTCTGGAGCTAGCCAGCCAGACTGAAAGAAGAGAAAAGGAAAGTTCTGCAGTTTCTACTTGGCCAGGGAGCAGAGTAATGAGACACAGAAGAAAGAAGCTGGGGAAGCCAGTGGTGAGAAACAATGGGCGTGCTTGTCTTCTGCCCTGATTTCTTTCCCTTTCTTCTGTGGAATTCATGCTTTGTTGCAGTACCAAATCTGTGATTGTCCACAACCCATGGGAGCTCTTTTTTTTTTTTTTTTTTTTGACAGTGCCCCCAGTACTTCTGTAAAGTAAATTCAAATGTGCCTGCAAGCCTGAAAAGACTGTGGGCCCTTTAATTGCAGGTACCTATGTGCACTTATTTAAGTAGCATCATGGTATGTAACAATATAGCTTGATTTAAATTAAGGTGATTTAAAACAATGCTTTAAGTCAGGAAGATAAGACTGATTTGCAATTGCTGATATAATCAAGTTTTTTGTGTTCACTATTTTTTAGATTTCTTAAATTTGAACACTTAAGCCATTTCAGTGTTCATCAAAAGTGTCATTTACATGTTTTCATTCTTACAATAATGTATTTCTATCTGTCGCTTTCTGTACATGTTGCAGGCTTTTCTTAAAAAAAATCCTACAAAGGAAATGTATTTGACATGTTTCACATAATCCTTTTTATTTCTACTCACCATGGCACTTTAAGGTTAAACTGCTGTCTGGACAATGTTGACTTCTCTTCTTTCCAGCACTACTTCTTTCTCTTTCACTTTTCCTTGCCCTACTCTCAAAAACAACAAAGCACAAATGAAATGCTGAAGACAAAAAGAAGTTACTTTGCAGTAAATTAGTTCATTTTCAACCAGTAAAAATAAGATATGTTTAAGGTGAAATATAAATATAATTTTCAATGACCAAATTGATTCTTTTACATATAAAAACTTTTTGATGTCATGTATCTAGTAGAAGCACTGAATCACGTTTAGAGATAATGACCTGTTTCAGAAAGTGAAGATCCATCCTTGTTATGGTAGATGTGTTGTCATGCTATGCAAACTGCTTCACCAAGGGTGATTTCCTCTTTCGAACAAGCCATTCTGCAGTGCTTGGGGTTGTTGTCACCCATGGTGGGTTGTTCTCCTGTCCAAACTTGGACAACATGCCCGGCGTGGTTGAGCACAACAGGCACTGAGCCACTTTGAGGGACAAAAGGCCTTGGTGTTCCTGACAAGCGGCTGTCAGGGCAGCACTGTTGGCAGCAGTCCCTAAAGTGCACAAGAAGCATTTGGGGCTACTGTCAAAAGTTTCCCCATGTTTGCAGTGGCACAGAATGGCCATCCTTGCTGGCAGCTTGAGAGTAGATTTCACCAGCCTCTGTCAAAATTGGCTGAATCCACTCCTCCCTTGGCAAAGAGGAAAGGGCATTCTTGTTGGCAGTTGGAGAGGACTATTCTTGAGCGGTTGGCAAGGGAGGCCAGGAGGCAAGAGCAGCCCCTGCCCCACTGCAGAATGGGTGAGCCGTGCCTGCCGCCTCCTGCTTGACAGGTTTCCTCTGACAGGAAGTGGGAGTCCCTGGTCCACTCAGTGGCACTGCTTGAAGCACAGGGCAGCCGAGCAGATCAGGCACCTTGGCTTCCTGCCCAAGAGTAGACCTCTGGAGCAGGAGGGTGGGAGCCAGTGATTGGCTCAGTGGGCCACCAAGCAGATTAGGCATCTTTGTCTGCTACTCCCTCAGGAGCAGGAGTACTCTATTGGCTTCCCTGTGCTGAACTTCAGGCATGAGTCTGTTTTGCTTTATAGGGGCAAGAGGGGTGTTTTTTAATGTTTCTTTGTCCCTGTAGGACAAACAGGTCTACTGCTCTGCAGTTCAACTTCCAGCCTTGGTTGCCGCAATGTGCAAAAAAGTGCCTGATGCAAGGGCCAGATGTCAAACATTTTGTGCTACAAGGATCCTCTGGTGGATCCCATGAGTGAAAAGAGACTGATTCTTCTTGTGTACTCTGGGATACTGCCTGAAGCATGGCTGGGGGAGTGAAGGGTCCATGAAGGTGGGTAGCCTTTCAGGGTCACCATGGGTTTTTCACAAACTACCCAATGTGGCCTGGTTAGGTTGTCCTGTTGTGTGAACTCAGCAAAAGTGTAGTCATAATGTGCTGTTCATATTTAGTTAATATTAACCTAAATATTATTTGAAATACCTGATCTTTACAGTCTAAAGAGAACCAAACTCATAGACTTTAAATTGTTGTCCTTTAAAACAAATACTACAATTTGAGTGTACTTGTATCTTTAAGGCAATTGCAATGAAAATGTTAAAGGACAAGGTCTTGCAGGGAGCCTGGTGTGTGGTAGGTTATAAAAAGTGAACCAAATGAATGTTCGTCATATGTGAAGAGGGTATTTGAGTAGGGAAGGCTTGGTCCATGAAACAGAAGGGATAATAAGTGGTCAGACAGGAAGGAACAGATAGTGGAATTAGGAGAGAGAGAACTTTAAAGGGAAGATACTGGGTGGCACCTAAGAGATGGGAATCTTACCAAAAAAAGTTTGTCTAGGTGTGAAGTTGGAGTAAGTCCCTCTGAGAATGAGGAGCCAAATCTACATGTAGTCAGTGCACAGAGGTTCTTTTAAGGATAATATAACTTAAAAATATAAAAGTGTGTTTCTCTCTCTTGAGTTGCAGTCAGGCATTTCCCATGCTCAGTGGTGCCTTGTGTGGTCTCCTGAGGCAGCCCTTTCTTAAGCTGTTCATTGTGAAGAGATGACGGGTTCTGTGCTGAGAAAAGACGTAAATGTGCTCAATAATTCTGAGCTGGAACCAGGCAGAATTAAATGTGCTCAAGAATAAAGAACTGGAACCAAAAGAAAAGTTTGAATTTTAAAATACTCTTGCTAAAGGCATACAGAACAAATTAGTGTGCTAGCATTGATAATTTTTGCCCAGTGAAAGCTAGTGTGGATTGACTTCATGCAAATTAACCATTTTTATGAGCAAACTATTGCAATTAAATTGCTTTAATATTCTATACTTCTGTGAGTCTGTCTCTGTACCACTTTCTCCTCCTCCACTGCATTGCTGGGCTGGATAGGAGAACATTTGCTTGAAAGGTGGAAAAGACGATTGCTGGATTTAGCAACTAGCAGGCATTCAGCTGATAGAGAAGGACACTTCCCTATCTCTTTCCATTTAGGAATTGCAGAGAGGAGTAGTATATTTTTCTTCATATTTAGCAAAGTGTAATTCTGTGCTACCAACAGACTCTCATTGTTTCATTGGCTACTATCCCTGCCAAATCTATCTAAGATGAGGATGGGGTCAGGAATTAACAGCCTGAAAGCAAACTGTCAAGAATAACTATAACTCAGATTGTTTAGAATAAATAGCAATCAGCACAGCTACTTTCTGTGTGTTAGAAAGCCTTGACGGAGCCAAGAGTCCCCAGGAGCAAAGAAAAAGAATGGGCCAAGAGGAAGAAAGGTAAATCAAGCTGGGAAGTCTAGTAAGTTCTCATTCCACATTCCACCTAGGTGCAAGCCATATTTTTGTTCATATTATCACATATGCAGCCACTGGAAATTGAGTTACTAACTATACAGATTTAAGTAATCATAAAATTCACCTAAGGCATTTGATTCATTTATAATCTCCTGTATTATGGAAATGTCTTATGAATCTTTAGTACAATCAAGCAAAGATTGGGAAATAATTCTAATTGTCTAATTCTAAGTGTTAACTGTACCAACCTCAGCATTGCAACCACATGCCTAATGAGATCCCAGAGGGTAAAACAAAGATAAAGCTTTCTTTGAATAAGGCAGAACACAGTCAAACTGCTTGGCTTATGACAGCATACTTGATAGTTCTCTTATACTTCTTTCTGATTTTTTTCCACTAAACCAGTTTCTCATGGTATAATCGCATGGCAAAAATGAATGTGATTAACCCAGTTGGGTTGATAGTGCTGGCTACGTGCTTTCATTCACACTTGTCAACACCTGTAAGGCAGAGGGATGCCACTCAGGAAGAAAAGCCCTAAGCAGTCACTCAGCTGTACTGCTGCTCTTGTAAACCATTTGCTTTTGGGTCATACCACACAGAAGAGGATGTCACAGTTAGGCTTGCGTTAATCAGGTTTGAGTATAGGTGCACTTATATTGAGTTGCTTTATGTCGCTCTAATTCCGTAAGAAAAGCATCACTTTTGAGCTGGGAAGAGTTGTGGTCATCATATTCTTTCCATCCTTGGGTGGAGAAAAGCCTGATCTGTTTCCATTTCTGCAAAACAGGAACAGAAATTTTCTTCCTTTTCTGTCTCACCTATGACTAAAGAGAGAGTGGTGCCAGTGTTCTGGAATGCTAGCATTATGATCTTTAGTTTGTCCAGATGTTTGGAGCATGCTTGTGTCAGGGCTGAGGCTATAGCAGAACTTCTTTAACAGTTGTCCATTTTTTAAACTCTGGAAATTATTTATTTAAAACTTTTATATCCTGTCACCACATGCCTCGGCATCTTGGGGCGGCTTACAAAGGTGAAGCCAATGAAATGACCTATAAATATTACTCGTGTGTGTTAATAATACCAAATTTTTTTGGCTTGCCTGTCTACAATTACCAGTAATACATCATTGATTTAAAAGGAAAAGAATCACAATTCCTTTTCTACTTTACATAAGCTTTCCTGCTTGTTTACCTAGAAGAAATTCCTATATGACAAAGGTGAGTGGCTATTTAAAAGACTGATTTTACTGCAATGCAGGAAAGAATCCTGTGGCATAATCCTCAGTTTCAGTAACTTCTGTGTGCTAGCCAAGTTGAAACAGATTTTTTGTTTGTGATTCAGGTATATCCACAGAAGGTTATTGATAAAAATGCTTGAACTAGTCTAGTTGCTCATAAATATAGTGGAAAAATAAGCATTAAGCTTCCAAATGTACCTATATTGATGCGGTTTGTTCATTTAAGCTTTGTCTTTATGGCTTTTTGTATGTCTGCTTGCTTTTGGTCATGGCTTGATTTAAACAAGTGTCAAATCCAATAGTGGCATGTGAACTAAGAAGTCATGGCATGATTTCATAGTATTTAACATTTTGATTAGTATTTTAATAACCAATGTTTATATTTGTTTAAAGTGAAACGAGAGTGGTTGCTTTACCTATAGGTTAACATCTGAACCTGGAGTAAAGGCTGAAGAAAATTGTGATGCTTCAACTGAAGATGCAAGTAAACATGAAAAGCAAGGAAAGAAGAAAACTTATCCTGTAATTTATATGTCTTCCAAACAAAATTCTGAAAATCAGTGTATTCAGCAATAAAGCAAATATTTATTTCATGTTACAGAAGGCCTTACAGATTTACTTATTGAGCAATACATTGGAACAATAAAATGGGATGTCTTCAGTGCCTTCAGACTCTATTGACAACCTTTAATAGTGGCATCAGTGCTGAAGATACATAATACTAAAAAAATGCTTTGGTCTACTATTACAGTTGGGGGAAGCTACACAACACAACAACTGGTTGGCTAAGAAACCATACAGTAAATCTGAAAATGGTATTAGTATGAACATCATGAGCTCTACATTAGAAAATGTCGTACATATGTGGTGGGTCGTTTTCTGTGCATGGGAAAATGTGGACTAGCTGGTTCCTCAGTTTTTGAGGTGTATCACAGTGTGTCTCTTTTTAGATGTACTAATGTGGCAAACATTGTGTCAAATAAAGCTTTAAAGCAGTTGTGATCATTCTTTATTAATAAACATTAATCTTAAACCCAAATTGCCCTGAAATTAAAGACAGAACATGGCATGTCCTTCTGATTGTTTCCCCTGTTAGTTCAATGGTTATGTGGTACTAAAAGCAGGATCCAGTGGGTTAACCATTTTACCATTAGCCCCATTTATTTCAGCTGAAGTATGTGCTTAATCTGTCACCTACACACTAAGGATTATATCTAGTGGTGGTATACTTCTAGTGGGAGAGGCACTGAGAAAATTGATTTCCCCATCACTAGAGCAGTTGGGGAATCTTTAATTGCCTTTTTGGAGCCCATGCAGGATCTGCGGAAGAGGATTTGTGAGGGGACATCCATTTGCCTAAGGGATAGATTCACCCCAAAGGTGCACTGATTTTTACTATGGATGCACTATATAGAGCTATAAACCCTGCTTTGAAAGTAGAGTTCAAATCCCGGTACAGGCATATATAGACTTGTCAAATTATATGCTGTGCCAAAGACAATTGAACAAATCAGAGTGGAAATGGGAAGATGACTTATTGATAATTATAACAATCATAATTGTATGATGGCCAAATGGCAAAGGCAACTGTAATCTATTTTATGGACAGCTGAGTTCTGCCTCTCCTTTCAAGAGTCCAGAGCCAGTCACAGTACTGGGGCCAAGAGCTGTGAGAAACAGCTTAAGTTCCATCCTTGTCTAGGGATGGGAAGGGGATCTGTACAGCGACAGAACTGGGATTCGTAGTTGATGCTGGAAGGGACATTTTTGGGAAAAACTACCTCAGCCTGAAGTTGAAGATCTGTAGCTGCTATAGCATAAGCAAGCATATGAATCTGTCCATTTGTAGAAACAATGGGGTTTGTGTTACTGTTAACCCTTGGTATGAAAGTGAGTGATGAGGTGAATAACATTCACATCTTTGGGAGGAGCAATCTTGATGGTGAAAGATGGTGTTGGTGTGGGAAATATGTTCAGATAGTTACATTAATTGGTGTAAGATCGTTTGGGCTTGTGAGAAGGGAGGGTAACTGCTGGTGCCTCTGAGGAATAGGGGAACGAGGTCAAAATGTAAGAGGCTGAGCATTTTCTCCAAATTTCAGGTGGAGGAAAGCAGGGTCCTTGGAAGAATATGGTCACGTGGTTGCAGGAGCTCATTCTAAAGGCCCAAAGCTTGAGTATAGGAGTTGTGTACATGAAAGATGAAGGTGGTTAAAACTGAACCCGGCTGCTAAGCATTTTCACAGGGTGTGCCATGGAACAGCTGACAAATGCTTATTTTGTTGGAATAAGTTTCTAATTTTGTAAATATGTAACAAGGCAGCTCCAAAGAAAAATGCATGGGAATTACTTTAGTAAATAGATTTTTTTAAAAAATGAGTTGAGATTCCTATGGATCAATTAGGGTCCTGCTGTTGAATTTCATTTCATTTCTGTACTGTCTGGTCAAAGCTTTTTGGACAGTTTACAAATCTTCATAAAACAGACAATACAATAAAAACCAGAAAAATGACAAATACAAAGATCTAGAAACAATTTAAGAATGGAAAAAACAATGTATGATACAAAATAGGCTTGTAAAACATCTGGAATGGCTGCTATTAAATATCTTTGGCATACAAGGCTAGCTTAACCTGGCACCAGGCAATGTTTAGTGGGAACATGTTCTGGAGTTGGGGGGCTGCCAGTGCTCTCCCCCTTGTTATTCACCTCCAAACCTCCCTTGGAGTTGGCACTCAGAGGGAAGGCCTTGGATGTTCATTGTAGTGTTTGGGTAAATTGTGTTTGGGAGAGGTGCCCAAGTATTACAGTGCCAAGTACTGCAGTTCCAAGATTAAAAAAACTTTATAGGTTAAAAAGAGCACCCTAAATCGTACTTAGAAGCAAGCAGGCAGCCAGTGTAATAGGCCAGTATCTAATATGTTCAGACACAGCTGAAGCTTCTCATTCTTCAAAGCCAGTCCCACATAGAGAGTATTTTAATAACCTAATGGAGTGATTGCTAATGTGTAGATTCTGGAAACAGGCTATTTCTGCCCAGATAGGGGTTATAATGGGGCCACCAACTGAAGCTGTTAGAAGGCACTCCATACCATTGAAGCCACCTGAGACATGGCACAGATGGCTCAAGGAGCATCCCTGGCTGCAGACCTTTGAGGAAGTGCAGCTCCATCTAGAACTAATTTTTCACCCAGTCAGAAGAACCATCCACTAGCAGTGTTGCAGCTTTGCCTGGACTGAGGCTCCTTGGTCTATCGTCACAGCCAGGCACTGGCTTTGCATACCCACAGCCTCACTCAGTGGAGGGGGAAATAAGAAATAGCAGTACATCATCAGCATACTGATGATGCATAGCAGCGCACTCCAGAACTCCAGATTTCCCCACACAGCAGTTTCATGACAATGCTAAATAGTATTTATTTATTTTTATTTTTTTTTATTTATTAAAACATTTTTATGCCGCCCCATTCGCCGAAGCCTCTAGTACTGGGGATAGAATCAACCCCGAAGGAATCCAGTGTTTGGACAATCATTACTCCCTGGCCCCATCTAGTGTGTCATCCTGCTGAGGAAAGGGCAAAGGGCTTGGAAGTCGTTGGATCTCAGGGTCTCTGGCCTCTTTCCTCCTTTCCCTACTAGTCCTGGGTATAGTAAAGACCACAGAGCTTTTCAAGTGGCTGGGAGGTGCTTGTGTGGGAAATTCACACTCAGGTCTCCTCCATGGTTGGAGCTCTGTCTGCAGCCAAGGTGGTGGGGACACAGAGCGTCCTGCTGTGCCCTGGACATGGTCTGGGGCCATATGATTTCTCTGCTTAATGGTTTAGGGAAACAAGAAAATACATTTTAATTGGCTAGATTAATTCTAGCACTTGTTTCAAATGAATCCTCTGAAATAGATGGCTAAAATCTTTACTTGAAATAGCTTCTGTATAGAATAGGGTGGCCAAACCAATGCTCTAACCCTAACCCTTCATTCCCCACTTCCCAAGATTGCAAAAGCTGGCCTGTAGCTGGCTTTTATAATCTACTTCAAAGGCTGGCATGAGCTGTCCCTTCAAAGCACCCAGTGACTCCCCACAATTTCCCCCCACCTACACATATGGGTGCTTTTTCCCCTCCTTTGTCCTCATTGCAGGAACAGGATGCACACACTGAAGTGATGTAAGATCAAAGCATAATAAATTAATCATTTGTCCCCATTGCACAAACTGGGCTTATGCTCTCAAGTCCAGTGGAAAAGACAGGAAGCAGGAACCACTCTAACTAGCTGTCAAGCCAGCCGGATTAATGTCCACCCCATGCTTCTGACATGCAGACTTTTGGTTGGTGACAGTGGCACTGGGATTGGGTCAGCCGACTTGCAAGTCAACTAACCTGTTCTCCACCCCATGCGGCTGACACAGGCCCCACTGGCTTACAGAAATTGCAATGGATCCCCACTTCCAGCCCAAGAAGAGACGCTTGAGTTTCAGGTAGGACTACTCTCTCTGCTTGGCACCATGGCCATTCCAGGGATGCCTTTATGGTCTGTGCTGTTGCCCCAGTGTGATGCCATAGACTGAAGAGGGCATCCCCTTCTCCAGTTCAAGAGAGAGCCTCTGCCAACTAAAAATCAAATCAAATAATCATAAAATAATGATGAGCTATGAGTGCTACTTTGTGTATATTCAAGTCCCACTTGGGGCTTGTTGTGTCATATGAGCCTGGTGAGCATGGTTATGTGATGGGTAAACAACCCTTCCACAAAACATGGTCTGTTCTAGGTTATAGGAGGGTTATTAGAACTCACATGCATGAGGTTCACATGGCATGAAAAACCCTGAGTGGATGTTGGATTTGCAAAATGGCAGCTGCATGCATCCTGTGTGTGCTGCAGGCTTACTGTGAGATAAAAAAATCCACAATGGACTCATGAAGCTAAAATAGAGGTTCCATTACCATCAGGATCCTGTGGCTCTGGGCTACCGTGGTTTCTTCGAACAGGAAACCTTTTCTAGAATGAAAGACATATTTGAAGAATTATGAATGATGCTTGGTGACGGTAAGAAATGACTTATAAAATGCCAGGCTGAGTTTCTTTGTGAGAAATGAGAATGGAACAATGGTAGTATGAAATGAAAACATTATACCTTTTCTGAAACTGATGAAATGCAAATGTTTCTCCACACTGGAGCAAAGTGCAGTGCGACCAATCACAAAACATTATGGTATCTTGTGGCCCCTTAAAAACACCTTTATTATGGCATAAGCCTCTAGTCCATGGGTCCAGATGATAAAGAAGTCAGTCTGCAGACCATCTTTGTGGAGGCTGTTATTGTAAAGAGTCTCAACATCGATGATAGCAAGGGCTGCCAATGACTGATAGGAGATTATCAATGGATTATGGTTTCCTCAGGAAGGCAGTACAGTTCTATAAGTGACCTAGAGTCTGAGCCTGAGTCTGGTCAAGGCTGTTTAGCTGGGGCTGTGAGGAAATTTCTGCAGGAAATTCCCCCACTTTTTCTGATATTCTTCAGAGGACTGTGAAGATAGGTGTCTGTAAAAGTACTGTTGGATGGTTGCAGCTCAGCCTCCTTGTATCCGATAACAATAGATCCTCCCCTGCTGACCTCTCTAATTATAGTATCAGGATTATATCTCAGACTCTGGATGTCCTCATTTTCTGCACAGAGATTGTGTGATAACGATGTTGTTTGCTTGTTACTTTGTCCTGTGCACAGCCAGAAGTACTCTCAAAGTCTAATCCGTTGCCACAACCATCTGCAGGGTTCCTTGCAGAATTCTTCCTCCAGTTGTACTAAAGTATTTGCTGAGTAAAAATGATTAAAATCATTTAAAAATGATTTTAGGTTAAAAATGAGTGCAGTTTAGATAATCTGAATAATCCAGTATACAACCATTACAAACTACCATTCCATTCAAGGAGAAAGAAGCTTTCTTAATGCTCCACTGTTCATGCTGGTAGACAATTGTGAGATCAGGCTTTTTAAAGCCCACATTGATTGCTTCAGTATGATCTAACAGATACACCATTGACCTAAACATGTGGTGATTTTTTTAATACAGTGAATTGACTGGTTTTCAAATGCGTCTAGCGTCATGATTTGCTCATATTGGCGTATATGATTTGCTCATATTTTGGAAATACTCCTCTCGTGTGGCTATTTGCTCTTAGAACTGTCATTACCCCATCAGTGAAGCACCTGGTTTGTGCTGCCTCCTCCTCCTCCACGTCTAACTTTCATTTAGTGTAAGAGCAGAGTGCACAACGAAAGAGGAAGGAAGCTGAGACATTGTGAGAGGGACAAAACCCACTGCAGCAGTTGCAGCCGCCAAAACGGCCTGATGGTTCCTGGGCCTGTGGATTTTGCTGGCACTGGACTCCATCTGCTCCATCTGCTTCACACTCAGACATTCCACTGAATCACAGCTCCTGTAGCCCTTTGGACTTACTGGAAATGACTCCATGGCACAAAAGTGAAAAGAAGGTTGGAGTCGGTATGTATCATGCAGTCACCTCTCTGGGCTTTTCCTCTTTTGCACAGTATTAGGAGAAGTGCCGAACTGCCCGAAGATAAATCCAGAAGCTCAGCAAAAGAAGTTGGTAGCATTTCTATGACTTGTTTTATAATGGCTTCAGCTTGAACACGCATATTTCAAAGCATGAGTGATGGATGAAGGGTACTTCCAAGTCACTTTTGCTTAGCTCTGTTCCTCTGTTCGGTCGCTTCTGTTCCCAGGTTTCTCACTGGGTCCTGTGTGGAAATAACTGTTTGATCCCAACTTAAATTAGGATAACTTTTTAAATAAAATTATCACCCAACAGGGGCTTAGATGCTTGAACTCGTCTGAGGCTTCAGTACAGCTTAGTTGTGCAACTTGTCTTCTTGTCAGGTCTACCATAAGCAGGAAATGGAAAGGAGTAAACCTATTTCCCAAAATGTGTTATCTGCCTTGGTGATAAGGCAGAGTAAGTACATCTGATTTGTATTTCTGTGATAGCTCTTTAGATTGTTTCTTCCACCTGCTACAAATGTTCCCTGTGTGATGAAACTGCCAATGCATTTTACAGTGATAATGTAATAGTAACTCTCACCGAACTACTAATCTGGAAGCATGAACTGTACAGTGTTCGGGGGATTTCCAAGTGAGGAAGTAGTAAATGGGTGAATATACCCACTGCCTAAATGAGATGTTCCCATCTTCATGCCTTCCAAACATGTTGGCTTGAAATTTGCATAATCCCCACTCACTCTGCATTGGCCATGTTGTCTGGAAAGGATGGGAGTTGCCGTCCAACACATATGTTTGGGAAATAGGGCTTTAAACATTCACTTTGCAATGAAAGATAGGCAAGACCATAGCTCAGAGCCTGCAAAAAAGGCCCTGGGTTCAATCCCCAGCATTGCAATGAAGGGTTGGATGGGGCAGAAGGTTGCTCTCTAAAATCCTAGAGCATTTAGCCAATGTTGGGCTTGATGGACTGACAGTTTGATTTGGAATAAAGCAGCTTCCTATATCCCTGTGAATGATGCCAGGACAACATATGCATTCTGATATACTTGATGTACTAAGGAATAATAAGGAACCATTTGATTTGTGGAAGAAACGGTGGGTACAAATTGCTTTTCAGGTTCAGTGCAATGATAAGGTTAGAACTCCTAGTGGGTTTATTACGATTGCAAAATGAACAAACTGGGGAATCAGTGTCTCTTTTGCCAATGAACAGAATCCTCTTGAATGGCTTCTCACGCACATTACATGTACAGCTGGTGACATGGGACTCTCTAGAGTTCCACTCTGTTCCACATTGCTGAAGGAACATGAGAAGCTCAGGACCATGCAAGATTAGTTTCTACACCCATGACAAAGTACTGTATGCCAATCTATATTTTTTGCTTTTTATTTTTCCTGAATGATAGGTAGATAAATAATGTACTGTTACTCATTTTGTAGCATGGACAATCTGTTCTGTTTTCCCTTTTGCAGTTTTCAAATCAAGCAACACCACTTAAATTGCATGCTTATGAAAAGTAAGATGGTTCTTTGTAGTGTTAAGCAACTAATGAGACTTCAAAAGGTTGCATTAGAAAGCAGCTCTCCTGAGGCCAAACACTTGTAATGAAATACACAAAACTTGGCATGGTTGTACAGAGATTATTCTACAAAGTTCAACTTGAAATTGAGCTACGACTCCAGGTTCATTTATGTTGTTATCTCTGACTTCAGGAAGTTAAAAAAAAAAAAAACAGTGATGAGGCAAACACAGATCACAAGCAAGCACCACAAAGGGAAGTTGTGAGGCTTTAGCAGTGCTTGATATAGTCTGTCTGGGTGTTGCTGAAAAGACCTTCCAGCCACCATGAAGCTGGCCCCAGTGCGAACCAGGTTTTCTGTGTAAATGACTTACTGTGCAGAGATCTAAAGCGAGTGATTTTTGTCCCTCTGTGAGTGGATGGCGTCTCATGCTGAGGGCTGGGCTCACACCAGCCGACCTGTCTGCATGGCAAGGGGGTGTCCTCTGCTGCTACTCCATCAGGTTTTCTCAGCACCATCCCAGTCCGAAGTCATAAATTATGGGTTAATATTGATAGACATGACCTAGTGACTAAAATGCACCCTTCCTTCTTCTCTGTTTTCTAAAGCATGTAAATGTTGGTCCATTTGTGGTGTTGATATCAGACAGTGATGTATACCTTGCACAGTAAAGTCCCCTACTCTATGGGACCTTTACATATGAGGCAGGAGCATTTCTGCATCTCAGATTTCTACAAGCAGGACCTTGCATTTTCCTGGAGGTAATACTCAGGCAGAGTTTTGGATTTGACAAAAACATTTAGAGCCTGGGATCTCAGGTACTTACTGCTCATTAGGAATTCATTGATAGTAGATTTATTCATGGAGTGGAGAACCATGTTTTCCAATATTTAGATGGTAAACTGACCAGTGAAGACATATTCTTTGAACATAGCTAAGTGTGATACAATATAGATCAAACTACAGTCTAGGAGTAAGATTGACTAAGAGACACATACACAGATTGCTGAATTGAGTTTTTTGGGAAATGCAGGGGTGCTTTCCTGGAGATCCGATGTTTAATGGGATATTGGAATGTTTGTCTGTCTGGGCCTGTGTTCAGTCTGCATATTTATTTATTACATTTACGTCTCGGCTTTTTCCCTCCAAGGAACCCATGAGAGGTGATGTCTATTTTATGTTCATAACAGCCCTATGAGGTAGGCTAGGCTGAGGGTTAGGGCTGGCACAAAGTTATCCAGTAACATTTGCAGCATCTCCTAAGTCCCAGTCTTATGCTGTCACTCCTATGCCACACTGGATCCCAACTCTGTCTTAAGCAAATTAACTCAGCCATAAGTTCGTCTTTAAATAACTCTGTCAAATCCAGGAAGGAAGGAAGCCCAACCCAGCAACTTCTGCAACTTCTCACTGCTTAGGGAATCACATAACAATACGTTGTGCTCAGGTACTTAACCAATAGTGAAGAAACAGTGGTGAGAATTGTGAATTGTGATCTTAGACCCACCTTCCCAGTGTGAAACATCCAGATACTGATTATTTATTCATAATGGAGTTTATAATCTGCGTTAGCCTGTAGTCCAGGAGGACTCCCTTGGCAGATTTACAAACACATGTAAACAATGACAATGGAAACAATATGCAACATAACTATTGACTCCCAGCATAAACACAAACCACAACAATATATAATAAACATATAGTATAATATACAGTGTACTGCTGAGAGCTTAACCTGAGAATTAAAACAGTGCAAGTTAAAATCTAAAATACACCAACATTTAATTCAATTATCATTAATAAATTATACAGAAATGAAATCAGTTATTAAATATCTGAAAAATAAAATTGTTTTTGTCTGGTGTCAATAAGATTGCAAAGAAGGTGCCAGGCGAACTGCTGTAGGGAGGCTGTTCCATAGATGGGGCACAGCCACTGAGAAGGCCTCTTTGCCACCCTCCTTACCTCCTTGGAGGATGGATCCTTCAGAAGAGCCTCCAAAATCAACCTTAGGGGTCGATAGGCACATATGGGAGCAGAGGGTCCTTCAAGATATGTTGGATGACAATCAGACTCACAGAATAGTAGGACTTGCAGGAGTCTATAAGGCCACCAAGTCCAATTCCCTGCTTAGTGCAAGACCCCTAGTTAAACCATCCTCCTCAGATGGCCATCCAGCTGCATCTTGAATGCCTCTAGTATGGGGGAGCCCACAGCCTCCCTAGTCAGTGGTTCCATTCTCATACTGCTCTACCAGTCAGGAAAGTTCTTCCTGATGTTCAGTCAGAACTGGCTTCCTATAGTCTGAGCACATTATTCTGTGTCCCACACTTTGGAATGATTGAGAGCGCTGGCATGATCACTGTCTGGGGATGATGTGAATTGTAGTCCAACACAGCTGGAGAGCAAGTAGGTGAAATTTCATTTAACTAACAAATGTAGCATAGTATAAGCTTTCATGGACCAGAGCTCACCTGATTAGAAAAATTACCTTGGGTTGGTGAGGAGCATACTAGGGGTGTCAGAGAAAGATAGATTTCTCTATCTTGAAATGGATCCAAATGATTCTGAATTTCCACAATTTTGAGTTGCAGACTAGACTAGTATCTTCTGAGTAATATGGATTACATGGACCTGCACACTTTTATTTTCTGGGATTTTATAAAAATACAAAGTTACTGGAAAAAATATATATACTTAAACACATAAAAACATGCAAAACTTTTCTGATTTTTCTTCAACCACTGTTGTGTAGCACATTTTTGTGCACTCTGTATATTGATCATTCACTTGAGCTAAGAAAGATATGAAAGATGTGATGCACAGTGAACATTTTGTAAATTGCAATGAAGGATTTATATATATTGTTGAATGTAAAAAATCTGATTCTTTCAATAAGTGACTGACAGGGCAAAAGAAGCCAGAAAATCCACAAAATATACATGGAACAGGTTAACTAAAATCCATATATCCCTAATGTACAGATGCATGTTAACCAATAGGATTTTTAAAGATTTTTTTTACCCTTTGGGCTCCTGTAATTCATGTCTGGACTTCAAAAAGTATGCATCTTCCCTTTGCCTCTTTATTAGATTTTAACAGGACTTTTGTCACTTGAAATGACTTGGGAGCATTTCAGTTGTACATTTCCACTAACACAGAAAGCATCAAGCCTGTCAAACCACTTCCTTTGTCAGCCCATGTCACTACGGTAACTTATTTTAAGTTACTAAGAACAAGTAATGAAATACCATCATTTTCTTCATTCTGTCAACTGTATTTGGAGCATTAATTTTTATGTTCCTAAAAGAAGTCTGCCTGGTAATGGTGGGCATGGACTTACTTCCACACCTCTATAGTTCCTGTAAATGCCAAAATCAGGTATGCCATTAAGACAAATATAATAAATAGATGAGCAACAGGTTAATGGGAGACTTAGATCCAAATATTGGAGTCCATGAAAGACATTGTCTGTAATGGATTAGCAATGTCCGGGAATCTATTTGTCACTGATACCTTAGAAAATGTAACACAAACACTGATCAAGTCATTCAAGACGTTCTTTGTATTCAACAAGGTGAACAAGCAGCTCATAAACTCCAAAGGTCCATGTAATATTTTATAGAAAACTTTTGCTTCACAGTCTCACACAGGGAAGTCCAACATGGCACCCTTAGGTGCCACTGCATATGCAAGCCAGGGCTGAAGCACTTGCTATGTGATTCCCTCTGCCCACCCATCACCAGACGCAACTGAATGGAGCAATCCCTCCATGTGTGGAGAGAGACAAAGTCCCCCTGCTGAAAAGCAACTTGAGTGAGGGTGAAATCCTTTCCCCATCAAGGGCCCATTGGGCAACATCTGGCTGCCACTGGCTGATTTTCATCAGAGGGGCTTTTTCCATGCTGTTAAAGCCAAGGGATGAATTGCTCCATTTGCTTTGATAGGGTGGGGAAGGAAAGAAAGGAAGAGGAACCAGAGAGGGAAACCAGAACCAGAGATGGGAAGGAAAGAAAGGCAAGCCAGAGTCAGTATTATCTGCATGGTGATGCATAAACAAAAAACAGTTAAAGGGGACGGGTTTTGTGACTGGCCCTTCAGCCCGTTCCATCACCTGATTTGTGGCAATGCCCTGGGCACTTTTTCAGAATGCCAGATGGGCTTATGGCCCTGAACAGTTTGGAGGCCTCTGTTCTAACTGCTGCTACTTCGTGCTATCTACAATATCTATTGCATTTCACCTCTCCTCTCCCAACAAAAGTGCAATTTAAGAGAGATCATGATTAACGGGAATTAGCATGGTATATCACGGTGACTAGAACAGCCTTCCCCAGCCTGCCTGTGCTGGCTGAGGATAACAGGAATGGTAATCCATTACATTTGGAGGCTATCACATGGGGCAGGCTGGATCAGAATCTAAATGACACAGCATTGTGTGTGTGTGTTTTAATGCATCTGCTTTATGTTGATGCAGCAATTGCATTAAGGTGTTTGCATAATTGTAGTTCTGTCCAGCTAAGAAGATTAAAGAAAGAGGCAAACACTGAACACCAAAGCTCAAAATAGAATAGACCTGAGGTTAGAATTCCAGAACTGTCTCTCCTGGTGTCTTCACATTTTACAAGAACCAGCTGTTGGAAGCTTGCTGACCCAACACAAGGAGGTGCAAACCATTTCCCCCTCCAAAAATACCCCTCAGCTACAATCTGCCTCAGTTTGAAAAGGACTACAGGACCACCATTTTGGGGTGTATAATGGGCCCACTGTGCCTAGCACTTTTTGTGATGAAAGGGTGCTTGGTTTGGTTTGGTTTGGGTTTTTTGTTTTGCTTTGTTTTTGTGGTGGGAAGGAACCACCTTACTGTAGGTGTTATTTGTAAAAAAGAAGTATTGAAAGCTCAGATCCTTTAATCCTTACCCAAGGTGCTCCTTACATGAGGGGGGAGTCAAGGTGGTCAGATCATTTCTGCCTGAAGGAAGTAGCTTAAAAATCCTTTAAGTAATGTTAGAAGGGAAGATCAAGGGAGCAGAGAGGTCAATTTGTCTCTGATACTGCCACACAAAAGGAGTTACAGTGAAGAAGGGTAGAATACAAATGGAGAATGCAATCTCCCAAAACGTTCAGTAATTTTAAGGCATCGAAATGGTACCCTCCCTTTTTGGAAGGGTTATTATTTTTAATTACAATGGAATAGAATACAGGCAGTCCCCAAGTTATGAATGTCTGAGCTAAGAATGGCCCATACTTAAAAATTGCAGAAAATCATCATCACCACAGAGAGAGAGGAAGCAGGGGAGAGAGGGAAGCCTCTGAAGCATTCCTTTTTGTCCTGCCTATCCAGAGAGGGAAACCTGTCCTGCATTTCCTTGCTGCAAAGAGCAGGTGCTGATGAGTTTGAGCAGGGTGGCGGTGCTACAGATATGTGCCATTTTTCCACTTTCATGGGGTCCTGTTCCCGACCCCTGCGAATGTGGCGGGCCAACTCCACATGATCTGACTTGCATACAAATTTGACATAAAGATGAATTTCCGTTTTCTCAGGAACAGAACTTGTTTGTGACCAGAGTGTGCCTTCAAAGTTGCCAGTCAGCATTCCCTGACCCAAACAAGCTGAGCATACAGCACATGAGTTGCCTAATTACCACATGGTACATAGTTGCCTGTGTTTGTCCAAACCCGTCGAGATGCACGACGAAGGTACTTTTGCAGCTATCCCAGAGCCCACGGCTTGCTGTACGGTGCTGAGGTAGTTTTCAAGCCACTCCTTGCGCCACACCTTGCCAGATTCAAATCACACAGGATGCCACATGCAATGTGGGTCGTTAGGTGAACCAAGTGGCAGCAGGAAAAAGACGCTACTGTGGCTTCTTTTCCCGCTGATTGCCCAAACCCAGCCAGTGTCTGTATCAACCGGATCGCTCCCATGCTTGGAATGAAGTGTTGCCAAGTACCCAAACTGTAATGAGGCTGACCTACAAGGGACAACTGAGGCTTAGCATACTTAAAAGGCACAGTCAAATATGAGGACAAAAGGAACACATTTGCTTTTAATCGTTGCTATAGAAGTCTTTGCTTTGTTCTGCCTTGACACTGCCTTCTGTGGCTTCCTGTCTCTTTACAAGCCAGAAGTATTGAACAAAATGACAGCATTGATCTCCAGATGTCACTGAAGCTGGGATGCCAAGGAGAGAACTTGGAACAATTTGAAGCCATTAAATATGTGTCAAGGACCACAGAGTATTGACCGTACTAAGACAATTCAACACGCACGTTTTTATGATCAAAAGCCCAGCTCCTACTTTGGAACAAATCTAGCTCTTATTTTTGTGCTTCAGGTTGATTTAATAGAGACATGGAAGACTTACACAAATAGTAATTGTGCCTCAGAACGATGAGGTAGCATGATCCGAGGCTCCGTGGCAAAAGAGGCTGCTTGTTCATGCCCGGGGTTCAGTGCAGGACAACTGCTCTGCTGATCCTGAGGGTTGGTGTTCCCCGTGGCACAGTACAGATGGCTGCAGTGGGGTATCGGAGACTGGCAGAAATGGGGGGAATGTTGTGTGATTGAAGGGTCTCCCTATTTACACCACATTGCAAGAAGGGACACAACACCGCTTCCCAAAGTCCATGGTCCTTGGCTGCATTGCCTGCCACTGCAAATACCATTCCTTCTGGTCGCCTGATTGTGGTGACTTGCTATTTTTCATATTTCTTATGTTTGATATTTCAATCAAAACAGAACCAAATACTGTTGTTCTGTGAATCAAGTCTCTTTGTGCAGCCTTTCTTCTCACATTTATAACTGACTTCTTGATTTCCGACATTAAGTATATCATAATTTAGTTTAATTTGACTTAGTGAATATTCATACCCTTTCCTAGATCAAAAATGTGATTCTCAAGTGACCTCTGTTCCACATGGCCCTGGCTGACATAGGACACTTAAGTAGGCTTTCTCAACCTGGTTCCTTCCAGATGTCCTGCACTGCAACTCCCAGGATTCATGACCATTGAACGGCTTGGCTGGGGCATATGGGTGCTGAACATCCAGAGGTACCAAGTCTGGGGCAGACCATACTAAATATGGTTTAGTGTTATGTATATGACCCTTTGGACTCATGGGGTCCTCTTTCCCCTCTCTGATGGAGCTGCAACAAGAAGGGGTGCAGAATCTTGTCAGATTAAACTATGGGTTAGGGAAACTCACTAACTTCAAAGAATAGCTTACAATCCTGGATCATTTCCTTAAATCATACCTCACCCTACCCTTACTTTTCACTGTAGCTTTCATTAGTTGAATACAACTGAAAGCTTCCACTCTCTTGTGTGCAGCCATTCCAAACAGGGAGATGGGAAATGGAAGCAAATGAGTCTGAGGGTCAACCAAGCTTGTTCCCATAATGCTCAAGTGTGCTTTACATGATGTCCATATACAATTACTTTTTCACAGATATAAATTTGCTTGAATCAACAACATTTTCTTCTGTACTTTCACAGCAATATACAATTTCAGTGCTTCAAGAGTGCCACAGTTATCTCTGCACATTGGTGATGTTGTCCATATTTTGGAAGACTGTGAAGGTGAGAAAATCACATTAAAGTCATGTTTTCTTGTTGGTGAATATATTGCTGCACTCATAATTCAGTTTTGCCTGCTTTGCATGATCAGCTTGAGTTATGGGCACATTGGGAGGAATGATTTGCAGGGATGATGCTTGTATTACCATCTCTAATATGTTTGCATGATATATAATTTTGATCTGAATTATGTTTTGGATTTGATTTATGTACAGTGAAATCAGTGAGCTTCTGGTGCATGTTATATTTTAATGTTATGCCATGTGCTGTTCTGGGTATAATATTAGAGGAGTGGTAAACAAACAAACAAACCAAGGTTATTATTAGTGTCCACGGAAGATGCCATGTGCTCCAGTTGCTAATTTTTGTTGGATGAACAGAGGAGTGGGGAAGCTGGGAAATGGTCTTCTCCCTCGTTTCTCACTCAGTTCCTTGTTTCTCACTCAGTACCACCTGTGGTGGTACTTCTGTGGACCATCAGAAAAGGCGATACAAAAATGTGCTTTCCCTTGTTATCTTGAAGCACTCAAATGTAATCCTTCTCAGTTCATTTTTAATGCAAAGGGGTTTGCCTTGTCTGTTTTGAAAGTGCTGAAACCATCCAGGGCTTGCAAAACTGGAAAAGCTGCAACTGTTAAATTGCATACATGTAAATGTTAAACAAACAAACAAAATGCAGTGTTAAAATTAGGCACTTGCTACTGCTCAGAAACAAAACACAGAGCAATTGTGTTTTCGGGAATTAGGGCAGAGTTCATATATGCAATGATACATAACACCCAGAAAGAAGGCCTTTGATTGTTGGTCGCAAAAGGGATTGGCATATATACCAAAAAAACAAAGCTAGGTAAACATGCCTAGCACATTTCTTACCAGAAGAGGTCTCTCTTGAACTGCAAGCATTGCATTAAAGCCTAGGAAACTGTATTGTTCCACAAATCTTGGTTATTAAAGAAGAGTAGCCTGACAGCCGGCAGCCGGCATGCCTGCCTTTCTGGTCTTCTTTGGGTCCTGTGATTCATGCCAGCCCGATCTTGACTGCCTTGCCCTGTGCTGAGTGTATTCTGTGTCCCGCCCCTGAGAGTGTTTTACCTGTAACAATGACTTTAAATAGATGAATCACTTGTCTTCTTCGATTACCCACAATGCTCTCAGCTTCCCCTCTGGCAGGCCTCACCCATGCGGTCTCTTTCCTGGCGTTGCCTTCCTGCCTTTTTACACGGGGCTTGCATGGGGGCTTGTGGGTTCACAATGAGGATAAGATGCCCTGGCAGGAAAGGGGATGTGGAGAGCTGAGCTGCCCAACCCTTCTTAATATTTAATTTTTATCTCTTAGCAACAGTGCATAACAACATAAATTATTAGCACTTCTTTGAATGCCCCAGCTGTCAAGTAGCTTAGGGCTGCAGGGTGGTGACCTAGAGGTTTACAAAGATGGCCGTTCCTGGGTTAGCTTGTGTGTAGCTATATAATATTGATATCAGAGACAAATGCTTTTTGTGAGGGCAGGGAAGATTTGCCTGTCCTGTGCCGTGCCTGTACGGTCGAGTTTCGCCAAGCCTGCCATGCCCTGGCTGCTGTCAGTGGAGCTATGCTCAGGCTCAGGTGGCTTTTCCCTCGAGGCAATGGCTGTCAAAGCAATTCTGGCTCCGATTGGTAGAGCCTAGTCCGGTCCGACAAGGCCTACCAGGCAAAACAAGCCTCGGAAAAGGATGCTGTGCTGTGTCCTCAGTGAGCAAGGCCTGAAAGCTTTCATTGGAACAGGGAAAAACAAAGTAGGGAAGCAACAGTGCTACCCCTGCCCCACTCTCCTACCCACCAGCCCAGCCCCACCCTGCAGAATATTTTCGGTTGTCTCCATGTTGGTTATCAATACAGGAGAGATGATGATGATGACAATTATTTCTGTGCCACCCATAGCGGAAGCTTTCTGGGCAATTCACCACAGAATCGCTCTCTTTCTCTCTCTTTCTTAAAAGCTTTTATAGGCCATCCACTACAACCGTCTCAGGACAGTTTACAAGAAAAAGAAAAAAAACTCAAAAATATAAAACAACATATTTATTTAATTTATTCACATATGTATATGCCGCCTATAACCGCTGAAGGCCTTCCTAGGCAGCTTGCAAGTAATAAAAATAAGTGTTTACAAAAATTGAAAATGAAATAATACTAGAATACATTTAAATACATTAAATAAAATGAAAAAGGAGAAAGAAAAAAAAGACCTCTGGATAAACCCATCAGGTCCCTAGAGATCTTTAAAGTCTTCAAAGAGGGCTGTGTTAATCTGGGGCTGAAAAGACAGCAAATTCGGTGCCTGGCAGGCCACAGCAGTGAAAAGAAGTGTTTGTCTGGAAAGCGGATGAGTAGGGGAGAGGATGACAGAGACTTATAAAATGATGCATAGTGTGGATAAAGTGGATAGGGAACAGCTTTTTCCTCTCCCTTAACACTATCATAATGAAACTGAATGGTGGAAGAGGTCAAAAAGTAAGTTCTTCATGCAGTGCATAGTGAAAATGACATTTACTTTCCAAGGCTGTGGTGTTGGCTGCAAACTGAAATGGAATGAAAAAGCGATTAGACCCCTGTGTGCCTTTGTGAAGCAGAGAGGGGAGAGGGAATCATGCAGGGAAGCTTGCTGTGGCTTGTTGTGTTGCTGGAAAGCATGGTTGCCATCACGTCTGAACTGGGCACAATATGTATTTTCATTGTGGGATTAAAATTTTATTTAAATCTTTATTTATTGATTTAATCTTTCTTTTATTTTTACTTACTGATTAAATTTCAGTACCAGCCAAAAGCTGAAGCTCTCTGAACACTTCAAAAAACCATAAATTGAAACAAGACAAAGAAGTGTCACCTGAAAGCTACAGCATATAATCAGAGCAAAACCCACCAGCACTTATGAGTATAAATGCAATACCAAGAGTAGAACCAACACCATCGTACTGAAGAGAAACCCTTCCTATTTCATTAGATTCATTAAGGATCTATGAAATTCTGAAAAGGAAGACATATATCTTGGTACATGTACCCCCTCCACCGCACACACACTTTACACTAACCCTAAGTATGTAATATGTCATGTTTTCAAGGGCACTTTTTCTGCAGTTAAGAAACCAATGCTAAAGTACATGCAGATTTGGTAATGTTGAAAATTTTTGTTACAAGTTGTAGCTAATAAACTAAATCGCCTGTTTATTCAGCAAATAATTTCTAAGCTTTCAGACTGTCTTGATATAGATGCTAAATTATCTTTTCAGGATTTTCTCACACATTTGTACAGCTTGTTGGAATTGAAACTCTTTCTGTATTAAGATCTTTGAAATCTTCCTATATTAGGGTGAAGGAAGCACATAGGTTTCTGTTACTCATGCAATAGTATGATTGCAATACTATGTTGTGTCAGCTTTTGGAGTTGTGATGACAATTTAAGATTGGGCAATCTCAGATGTTTTTCTGCCTCTCAGTAATATACTCTACTTTTATTTAAAAACATCATTTAAAAAGTTAGATACAGAAAATGCACTTTCAGAACAACCCTATGCATGTTTACATGAAAGTACACCCCAGTTGTTCAATTGGACTCACTCCTAAATAAATATACATAGAGTTCAGCCTAGTTTTGGAGAAGTCAAATGTGTGGGAACACTTTGTATCTTAAAAATCATTATAGAAAATATTGCTCTACTTTGAATTTTAGATTGGTACAAGGGATATCTCGTACGACATAAAGGAACAGAGGTAAGATATTTTTTATTGTCTTTGTTATTCTTATTTTTAAATATAACTTATTTAAAACTCTATTTGATTTTTTAAAGCTACTATCCATTCTTTCCCTCCCCTTTTTATGTTTGGATGTTAATTCTGAGAAGATGAGTCTCTTGCAGCACAGTCCTACACACAGCTATGCTGAAGAAAGTTCCATTGAATTCAAGAGGTGTGCATAGGGTTGCACCCTAAATCTGTTTAGGTGGGCAATATTTCAAGGAAAAACAAGTGGTTTGGGATCCAACATATGTTTATATATGATGAAAAGAGGCAAGGATCTTTCTGCTAGACATATCTAGTAAGGAATAATTGAACTGGCCAGAATTCACCTAGATATCTGTGCTTAGGGGATCTTTTTGCTTGTGTTTCTCAAAATTAATTCCTCTCTTATGAGAAACTCCAACTGAGGTAAAGTAAAAAAAATCTGGTGTAGCCAATGAATGTTCTGTTGCATGAGGGTGGATGAAACCTGGACATACCTAAAATCTTTGAGTCCTAATCTTCATCTCTACGTAGAAGAGGCATTTAAACACATTCATTAGCATTTAAATCCCATATTTCCTTAAGCACGCTCAAGTTGGCTTCCAACATACAGGTAGATGTCACAAAGCAATATGCAGTCATAGCCATAAAGGCAAACATAACGGTTTAAGAGTCAAGAGTGCCCTTCCATTCACAGAAGGGACTTAGATCCAGTGCAGGCTCCCACTGCAGGAAAAAAACAGGAGGGGTGATTTGGATTAATTTCTCCTCAGTCCTTTGTACCACATGGCACATTATTTCAGAAGGTCCTCTATCTGTCCAAAACATTTTTAGCAGTCACAGAAGGATGGAGAAGCTCTCCCAAATGCCTTCACCTCCCTTTACCCAGTGGGAGCATCCTACAAGCAGGGTTCCAACTAGCAGGAATTCTGACATCTAGCCGTTAACAACAGCCTAGATAAAAGCCTGAAAATGGAACTGCCTGACTAAGTAGAAATGCATCTAACATCACAATCAATACATTGTAAAATGTGGTTCGGCTTCTTGTTCCCAGTATTATGCTGACTTTTGCAGCTACTAAATTGCTCATAGCTAGACCAGAATTCTGTCCTTCGGTTCCACTCATCTTTCTCAGTCCTTGACTGATTTATCTTTCATTGGATTGAAGATTTCCCATTAGAAGGGCATGCCTAAATAATTGTCACTTTTTCGATACTACACTATACATTCAAATCTGACATGATGTCTACAGAACTGGCTTGATGAATGTATCCTTTTTTCTTTGCCCCTAAAACTGTGACTCAATCAGAGTAAGATAGCATGAAAACTCATTTCCTTGTTCTCCGTTAAGTAGAAATAGCTTTCTGTTTGTGACCTAGCGTTACTGTTCTATTCAGTAAAAAACAGAAAAGGTACTTTGATGGTTCTGTACTTTAAAAATTGCTTTTACAAACAAACCTTGACCTTTTTCTTATTGGTATCATACCCACGTGATCAAGTGATAATGGAGTTACTTATGTAAGCAGCAGTGGAACTCTGACTTTTAAAAGCTTGGCCTCTTTTTCTTTCTGTTGCCCCTTAGCCTACTTTGTTTCAGCCATGGAAATGGTTTTGCATCAGCTCTTCAGCAGATTACTGTACACAAGATGATACAACAGACAGAAACTCTGCTCTGTATGTGGAGATTCCCCTGGACCACTGAGATCTTTTTCTGGGTTTTGAATGATTCTAGGCAATGGATTAATATCCATCTGACACTGCTTGAGTCCTGTGGTAAACTTCTTGTATCTTTCCTTGATAATTTTACATTTCCTGCCATCATTCTGATCATAGTGATCACTTGTAATAGTCTCGTCACTGGCTTTGTCTCATGTTCACTTTATGCTTCTTTCAAAAACCTCCATAGTCTTGCTTCTCTGTATCTTCCTTCCTTCCTTCCTTCCTTCCTTCCTTCCTTCCTTCCTTCCTTCCTTGTTCCATTTGTTCTATGACTAGTGAATCTGAAAGGACATACTACTTCCTTAAAAGGTACTGCTAGTATTACTTTATTATAATTTTACAATTGCATTTATATATCACATTTTTCCTCTTGTGAGGAACCAAAGGAGCCTATATAGCTCCTTTGTTATCATCATAACAACAACCTTGTGAAGTAGGTTGGATTGAGAGTCTGTGGCTGACCCAAAGCCACCCAGCAGGCTCCATGGCTGAGCAGGGACTAGGACCCAAATCTCCCAGGTCTAAGCACCATGCTAGACTGGTCTGCAATGGCAGCTATGCCTTTATTTATTTATTTATTTATTTATTTATTTATTTTTTCTGGTGGACATTCCAGGGTTTTTTGGACCTTCCACATATAGAGAGGCCTTATTTCTTCCTGCTCCAGGTGCTATTTTACTAATAATATCTACCTGGATGACTACAAGGGGTGAGAAGAGATACAAATAGGGCTTAGAAAAGCCCCCTGCAGTCATGGGGAGGGGGTAAAATTATGGTTGGGTTGAAAGCATTAAGCCTCCCTTGTCTGTTTGGGAGGGGCAATAAAAACCAGATGTTAAAATAATTTTTTTGAAAAGAAAAAAAAGATAGCTGCTAGCTACATCTTTATAGTAGCATGAAATTTGACCCTGAATTTACCCTATTTTCACTTGTACCCCTTTACCCTATCACTGGAATACTGTCTGTCCCCCAGGACTTGTGACTGTCTTTCTTTGTTTTTACAGCCAACTACACATCCTTAAATTACATCTGCTCACTTTGGTCTTTTCCTTCTTTCTATTGACTTTCTCTTCCCTTCCTCCCTAATGGTCCATTTTATAAAGCCGTGGAGAAGGTCAAGCCTGAATATCCATGCTTTACAATACTGGTTTTGATGTGTATATCCTGGTTTGCTGAAACTGGAGTGCTACATCTTAGAGGGAAATTGTGAACTCTGGTTTAATGTCCATTTCAGTATCCAATCTGAGAACCAATTTAGCTCTGTGATACAGTTTAGTAGTTCCAGCTCAACTTTTCCCAGTCACATATATTGTACGAAAGCCAGGCCCCATGACTTGTACACACAGACCACTGGAAAATAGGAAGCACCCCACAGAAAGACCTTAATATATACATTCAGGTCTGTTCTTGGGAATGGTGTAAAAACATCTGAATGAAGATGGTGTCTTGCATGTTTGAAGGAAATTGAGGTTTCCTGGGGGATGAGCAGCCAGCTAGGCTCTTCTCCGCAACATCATCATCCCTTATAAGATTACCCATTGCATGCTGAGCATCAATTAAACCTGAAAAGAGCAAATCTGCTTGAGAACAGAGGAAGGTCCCTTTATGCCAGATCCAGCTGCTTGTCTGTCTTGCCCAGTGTTATGCACTCTGACTGGCAATTGTTCTCAAGGCTCCCAGGCAGAACTCTTGCAAATCCCAGGCTACCCGATCCATTCAACAGGAAATGCCAGAGACTAACTCAGACTTTCAACATACAATGTGTTCTGCAGCTGAGCTCTGGAAAGGCAAAATGCTGCAGCGTTTGCTGGCAGCATTCATCTGGGCATTGTCAAATATGTGATGCTGAAGAATGAAAGGCTGAAATTAATTTACAATGTCTATAAGCATATCTTTTCATGTGAGCAATATTACAAGAATGCTTTAATTCCATGGGTTGCATCCAGAACTAGTCATATTTAGAGCAGACCCACTGAAGTCATTGAAGTCAGTGCTATTCAAATAGTGCTCAGGGTGGCTAAAAATACACAACAGATAATATAGAAATGCACCTAATAACAAATGAAAAATAGGAATGAACAAACCCACCTTCTGAGATTGCCCCTTCAAGAATTCATGGACCTGCTATACAGTAGTGTCCCCAGCCCAGCCCAGTCAGGCAGTCCTAAATAATATTATGGTCAATGGTATTGTCAGCTATTAGATAGTCCAGGAAAACCAATAATTACATCTTCCTCCATCAGATTCCTGATGTAGATTGTCCACAAAGGTAGTCCCTGTCCCGTAAGTAGGCCTGAAGCCGAATCATAATTCGACTCTGCTTTTTTTAGAAACACCTGGGGCTGAAATGTCACTACACATTCCATCACCTTCTCCAAGACCAACTTATTCAAGATTATCCATGTTGGTAGAACGTTTTTTCAAGGCTTCATCACTGCTAGTTTATTATGATTAATTTCAGTCCCATGAATTTTAATGTGTATACTCTAAAATGACTAAATCTGGCCCCAGCCCTGTAGTTTGTAGTTGCAGTGGTAGCTTTTACAGGATGCAACTCACCAGACCTGGTTCCTGGACTATGTATATGCAATCGTGCTCCTTTTTGCTTATCATGAAGATATGTCTGGCAAAGCATAATGGCTGTGCATTTTCTTCTTCCAACAGGGAATATTTCCAAAATCTTTTATCCATATCAAAGAAACTGGTATTGAGAAGAAAAGGTATTACATTTAGTTGATTATTTTGAGGTATCATATGTTTCTTGCATGTGTTACAAGAGAATTTCCTCATGTAGAGTAAAATGTACAGGAATGACAACATGGGTAAAGAAAGCATAATGACCCCCCTTCTGTGTTTCACGCTAGTTTGGCTGTTGTCTTCCACACTGCAACCTGGGGTCAGATGGTGAAACTGACTGGCAGTATTAACACTTAAATAAGGGAGGGAATTAACTACCACAGGATGCAGTCACTCATTTAAGAAGCTTAAAAGAAAGGGATTACACACATTAATAATGTCTGTCAACAGCTGTTTAGAGGTTATCTCTAAACAGTACCAAATACTGAAGGACAGATGACAGGAGAAAGCTGTTGCATCTGTGAGACAATAAAAAGCTTCTAGTTGGTAGCAGAATATTTAGATCAACTTGGTTAAATAGTTTCTCTGAAGATCTCTCAAAAGAGACTGGCACAGACATTGATTCCTATCATAAAATGGATAAACTTAGAGGTGAATACCCCTATCTAATAGGCAAACATTTGTAAAGTAAAGGGAAGTGGAAGCCCACAGGGCTTGATGGTGTTTGGCCAGACAAATAGATGTCCAGAGTTGTAGTACCTTGGACAGCTCCAAAATAGCAAGTTGGTTTTACAAGCTCTGGCGCTCACCTAGCCTGACTAACCCTGCAAGGCTCTGCTGCTTTTCTGAAAGCTTTAAAGGGATGGCCTTTTAGCATTCCACCTCCTTTTTGTCCATTCTCTCTGGTTCTATTAGATTGGTGAGCAATCGCTGGCATATGTGAGGGTCCTGGTATGGACAGGTCTGGTTGCTTTGGAGGAATATGGTCAGTATCTGTGAAGGGACCTATTTCAGGTGTGTAAAGTTGGAAGGTCCTGGCTCTTAGGACCCATTCATGGGTCCAGCTCATCTATGACTTGTACCCTTGGTCCTTCTGATCTAACAGGTGACTCCTTATCTGACTCAGAGTGTGAGTTACTGATTGGGCAGGATGAGAGACATAACAATGTTCATTCTTCCATTCAGAAATGCGGAACATGTAATACCTGCTGAGATTCCTCTGGTGCAAGAGGTTACCTGCACACTTTGGGAATGGGGCAATATCTGGAAACAACTTTTTGTGGTAAGTTATTTCTGCTCCCAAGGGATTTTTATGGCTGCAGGGCAATTAAAATGAGCAGGAGTAGGATTGTTTATAGCACAATGAAGTATTTTTGTTGTGTTAAATACATTTGATATGGTTTTGTAATGGTCTTGGTAGGGATACATAGATTATTGAACAAGCTAGGAGCTTATCATAGAATGGATTTTAATTTGTCAAAATGTCTTCAAAGGTATAGCTGATTTCTAGCTAATCTTTGTAGAATGAAATGTTCATTTATATGTATCTGGGCATACATTTTTCAGAGGGACCCGGTCCTGGAAGCCAACAAATAAGCCATTAACTTGCCTGCTTCTTGATGGTGAAACCTTGTTATAACTTCCCTCAAACCATGGGAAATCAGTTGGCACAGACAGCACTTAAAATATTTCAGAGGAAGATCTTGGCACTAGTTCTCTATGGTGTGGAGACAGGGGGCTGGTTAATAGACAGTATGAGATTATATTGAACAATATGTAAAGGAAGCATTCTAGCCTTTCCTTCTAATATACCAGCTGCTCTTCTTCATGCTGCAATGGGGTTAACGTCAGTTCAAGAGACGCAAGGCATTTTTATGTTACGTGAAAAGATTGATCAATAGGCTCAACCATAATTTGGCTAAGCTTTGTAATTTCAAGCAGAACAGGCTCAGTTGGGCTTTTTCCTGTCCTGAAAGATTGGCCCTTTCTCTTTCCCTCCCTCTCTCCCTCCCTCTTTTGCTGGCTTCCTTTTATTTAAGGTTAAAATTAGAGAGAACTTAGATGAATAAACCCTGTGTTTCTGGATTACTGTATTTTGTCTTCAGCTTCAGGACCAGAGCATTGTTTTGAGGAAGTGGATACAGAAGCTCTCTCTTCACAGAAGAGTTTGGGCTGTGTTGTTAAAAACCTTCCTCTGTATTTCCACTTGGAGTGTGCTGCAGTTTCAGTCTTTGACTGACCTTTAATGCCTAATGCACTGCCAGTTGAAGGTTGAAAGCACCTGTTATGCAGAAGCTACTGCTTTTGCCTATGGGGAAAAGCTGCTATTATATATTACTAAGCAACTTGTCTCTTTTTAATGTGTTGCGACAGCCTGTCCAATTTGAAAAAGCAAAATAATCTTGTGTGCCGGATAGCACTAGTGTACAGTACACTGAAACCTTAAGTGGAAGCGTCATTATTAGAAATAGCCTCTGTTAACTTCACTTTGTGCTTGAAGTGCCACTATTTGGCCATCTGACCAAAGCAAGAGTAATTCGATGTGCGTGTTGAGCTCAGGGCACAAACCAGAATCTTAAAAGTTTCTTTCTCTTCAGAATGAATCCCACACACAAAAACTGAACTACAAGCATGCCATGATTATGAGGTTCTTTAGACCCCATGCAGCTTCTGCGCCCCCTCTCTTTGTCCCTGTTGAGTCATGATAATATAAGCCAACCTTCTCCTGAGGAGGCCTGATCTAACCTCACTTTTTCTCTTGTCCAATCCAGGCTGTCTTTTCATCTTTGTTTTACATTAATCCATCCTGTCTCTTGATTATGGCTGCAGGTCAGAGATGGTGGGCTCTGTAATTCTACATATCTGGGGGGCACCAGGCTGGGGATGGCTTCTCTGACATATGACTGAAACCTGCACATTCTATAGTGGAAAGCAGGGATATTGTGTGTTAACACGACATATGACATCCCGGTTTCTCTACCATACAGTAGTTGGAAAGGAGCAAGCAGCATTTGTGATGCCAGATAAGCTGAAGTCTGAATTGTCTTGGATGTTTCAGGCAAACAAAAAGGAACGCTTCCGGCAGGTACAATCTCTGATGTGCGAGTTAATGGAGTGGAGGTCTCAGCTTCTCTCAGGGACATTGCCCAAAGATGAGCTCAAAGAACTGAAGCAAAAAGTCACTTCCAAAATTGACTACGGCAACAAGTAAATCCTTTTGTTCTGGCTTACCACAACCAATATATGTTAACTCAAGAAATACCTTGGTTGCAATGTGATGTGAAATATCTCGTTTGCTAACATGACTTGTGGCACTGGTTTCTCAGGATAAGGGAAGAAAACCACAACAAGTTAACACTGTTCCAACTAGGTTCTGGATTTTATAACAGGATGGTACCTTGGCAACCCATCCTTGGGGGTTGTCATATGTGCAACTTGCTGGCCACCTCTACATGAATCTGGAAGACTGCCACTCTTCTTATGCCTTTCTCTGTTAGGGTGCTAATAAAAGGAATTAGGAAAGTGCTGAAGAGAGGAACTCTGTGTGTGGCGGGGACTAATGGGGCTGGGAAGTGAGCAGAGATGAAAAATATTAACTATAATGCAATCAGCAAAATCCCTTGTCTGCAAACACCTGAAGTATCACAGTGACAAATTGTAATCTAGAATATGTTCAGATGGTGATGATGGGAATCACAATTTGTACAACACTATAAAAGTGTTCCAAGCACCTCACAAACGTGATCTCAGAGACTTATAGCAACAATTTTCCTCATCGGTTACTGTTGGGACTGGTCCAATTCTTTTTGCTTCCCCAGGTGAAGGACACTATGGGCTTTTCCTCATTCCGTATATAAAGTACCACCAGACTGACAGTTGAATCTGAACTTCAGCACTGGCAACAGGGCCGCACCTCAGGTTCCAGGCTAGCTTAGGGTCTCAGGGTAGCTGCCTTATACAGCCAAATGGTAGGAGCAGCTGTAGCTACCATTATTCTCCCGATGTCCCAGGAAAGGCTTGTTCCAGATAGGGCATATACCAGATAGACACGGGATCATCTAGGAATTCAATGCCAGGTGAATGTGAACTAGGGACTTCCCAGACTGTGCTTCCAGTGAAGCACCAACCCAGGATATAACCTCTGTTATGCCAGTTAGCTCTAGACATTTGCTAAGCAGAGCAACTCCAGATGGCCACTGCTATGTGCATAACTTAGCCATTTCCCTAACTAGCTCTAGGTTACCATAGGTCAGGCTACTGACCACTTCAGTGACCAGTTCTAGAGGTATATTGTAGTGGTCATCTAGAGTTGGTTAATGTAGTGGCTAAGAGCTTGAATTCTGCACAAGAACACCCCTAGTTTAAAGCTCACATCGCTATGGTCTGATAAGGTGAACTTGAGACACTGCAGTGCAGAAGCCTGCATTGCTGTGTATAATGAGCAGGCTGGAAATATTTGAGTTCCCACTTGAAACAATTTTGGATCAATGACTCCAACCCACAGAATCTAAGTCTCCTGGCTCCAACACTTTATTCTTTTCGGTGCCAGGCTAAACCCTTTTTATTTTCCCAATGTTTTAAGGTTTGACTCTTTTAATATGGGTTTTCTTGTTGATTGGTTAAGTATTTGACTAGGATGCTGTGTTTTATTCTGTTTTGTCTTATTGTTAAACCATCCTGAGACCATGGTAAGGGACGGTCTTAAAAAGTTTTTAATAAATTTAAATAAATAAATAAGTTAGGGTGCACTCCTACAGGCTGTGTTCTTGTGAGACAGCAGAGTTCCTCCTTATCCTGTGATGACTGCTTTTTGTTTGTTTGTTTTCTCAATGTGCTTTTTTGACCATCTGGCACTGGTGCTTCAGGGAGGAGATCTTGTATTATGGCTTCTCTGGTCTTTTCTTCTGCCCACTCCTGTCCCTCCTCCTCATCTGAGGTTGTTTTTCTGACCTCAGAGGCTGTTGGGAACAAGCATGATGCCAGACTTGGGCAAGAGTTCCCACCAGATGTGTGCCAAGCCCGTTTTGCGGATTTGGATTCAGAAGAGGAATATTGAGATGGGATTAAAGAGAAGGATTTTGTTCAAGGCTCTGCGATTCAGCAGGGAGTAGAGATGCCAGTGATTAGTTCAAGGGCAGATGAAGGAGCAGAGGTGCAAACCAACACTGGGAACAGTATGGAGGTACAGGAAGCAGGAGGGGCTGTTGATACTGGGAAATCTTCTCATGGAAATCAACTGCTTCCGTCTGAGACAGCCCCTCTGGCTAGGTGACAGCAGCAGCAAGAGGAACAACTGGTTGAGAAGTGTGTGGAGAAAAGATGAGTGTGCTTTCACAGTGCCCTTCCCCAAGGATTGGGTCACAAGTGGGTTCATAAGGAGACTTTTGGGAAATAGGTTGAGTTCAACAAATGGCTTTGTGAATGCTCAGGAACTTGACTGGATTATTTACATGCACAAACAATAAAGAGAATTTTGCTGTGAATGGTTCAAGGCTGGAGGGAGAAAAGTGGCTCATGACAGAGGCTGGACAGTCAGGTTCTTTTTGTGTTGATTGAAAGGGAAAGGGATCAGATCTCCAACCCCTTCTTGTAAGGTCGGAGCACAACCTCCACTGAGGAATCCCCATTACCCTATGGCTGCTCAGACAATGCCTAGGGTCCAAAGATGTATCCTTTAGGGCATGTTCACTGATTATTCGCTTCTATCGCTACATCACTTAGATGTAATTTCAGTGCCTTTAAGTGACCACCCAAGCAGCATTTTCCCTCCCTCCCTCCCTCCCTCCAATTCAGTGAACAACACTACACTGAGTTCTCTTTGTGCTTTTGGCTGTAGCGTAGTACTAAGAATATGTACTTAGAAATTTCCTGTTAAAATGTCATATCAGCTAAATGTGTGGACATTTCAAAGACATGACTCTATAATATATACTTACTGAAAATGTCACAACAGTGCCTTGGTTGAAGCAGCCCTGGCAACCATGCATAGCTGAAGAGGAATATTGCGTGTTTAAATCTTTCTTATGCAAGGAACACAATGAGGTGGTGAGATTCTGAAATTCTTGAACGAACTGTGTCATTTCAGATTGCAAGTGTGGTGCACTCGTCTTATTTTTAACTGCCCCATTATGTTAGGAGGAAAGAAAGAACCAAAGCCAAAATCAAATGTTCTGCAAGTAGAAGGTCCATACAGTTAGGTGCCAACTTTGATAGACCAGGGCTGTGTTCTTCACCGCAAAGCCGGAAGGGCATGGGCAGCTCCTGATCACCTCAAGTGCACATAGGGGTTTTGCCCCAAATCTCTGCAGATGTTCCCCAAGAAGGGACGCAAGTCTGAGTCTGAGGGGGAAGGGGCTTCAGGGAAGCCAAGTGTGTGCATGCAAAAGATCAGAGAGAATGGCAGAGACACAAGGAGGAAACCAGTGTTTTCTCCTGACTAAGACATGGGAATACGAGAGCCAACAGATGAAGAGGAAGGGTTAATGCAGGGTCACAAGGCACCCAAAGAGACTTGCAGCTAGGGAGATGATCCTGTGGAAGGGCCCGCCCTGAGGGAAGGACTTAGCCTGCTCTTGAGAAGGTGAGCAAACCATACTAGACAATGTCAGTCTCCTGACAACGTCTTTTCATGGTGCTCTAACTGAGGCAAGGAACTGAAGCTTATCAGCTGCGGTGCTATGCATAGCCTGTCTGGAACTATTGCCTCCTTTAGCTGCAAGAGGATAATGTCTGCAGCCTGAGGCAATGATGGCTTGTTTGCAGTTTGCATAAAAGTGGAATTGACTAGAAATATATCGTGACAGCCTGAATACAAGGAGAACATGGGGCCAGGACAAATGGGGCTCTCTGCCTCTTTCCTGTACTCATTCCTTCCCCCTTTCTTTGCAGTAGCTGCTTGCTCTCCACAGGGTCTCTAGCTTTGCCTTGCCGGTTGCTTTGCTGTGTTCTGGGCTCTGGAGGGAGGCTTCAGGGGTGGGGAAGCAGGAGCCCTGCTGGCCCTTAGTTTGAAAGTTGGCTTGGGGTTGGGGGAAATAAATGCAGGAGCAACCAGTCGGTTAGTTGTGGTGGGGAGGAGCAGACAGAGATGAATGAGATGGACCAGCTGCAGTGATGCTCTGTGCAGCTGCTGGAAACAAAGGTGGGGTTGCCTGTGCCGGCTGGTGCCCGAAAAATACGGAAGATCACTGAGTTCTGTGGGTTGAGAAAACCACAGCATGCAACTAGTTTTTAAGGCATTAAAAACAGCAGCTGCAACCTGCGTTCTAGAGCAGCACCTGCATCTTGCAGCCTTCTGCCCCTCGTTTTGCAGCATGCAGTCATCTGAGCCAATCCACAGTTTGAAAGGTGGCAAGTTCTTCAAATTCTGTATATTCTTCATCACAACAGAAAAAGATGACAACTTTTTAATTCCTTTATTTAAGTGTGTGTGGCTGTCAGGAGAGTACTGGGACTGTAGGATGTATTTCTGCATATGATTGTCCCTTAAATCTACTGTAACTACAGTAAGTGAAGGCTTGGAACACAAGGTTCCATCATGGCCTCAAACTTTATACCTCCAGCAGGCCTGAGCTGGACTGCAGGAGGGGAAGGGGGGAAGCCTGACTCCCCCCCCCCCACCCACACACACATAGCCCCACAAACATTGCTTTGGAAAGACAGGAGGGGAAGAGTTGCAGGGTTGCCAGAGGCTGCTCTTTATATAACAAAGGATTTTCTCTGAGTAGATAGTTTTGCTTTATTTTTAAAGAACTTGTATTCTCAAGATTATTACATGGTCTGTTAACCCAAGTCATTTGTTAGACACCTGAGCTACTTTATCATTTCACGTGAATCTAATCATTTAAAAAGTAATTTTAAAATACACATTAAGGAATCTCATCCCTAATACAGATCAAAACAAGTTCGGGCTTTAAATGGCCCCACAACATGAAATGTGGTAGTTTTTTAAAAGCCAGTTGCTGTGTGGTAATTAAATATTGTGGATGGCACTCTTTTTCTCTCTGCAGGATTCTTGAGCTTGATCTGATAGTTCGGGATGACGATGGGAACATCCTGGATCCAGACAAGACCAGTGTTATCAGTCTCTTTCATGCTCATGCTGAAGCAACTAACAAAATTACAGAACGAATTAAAGAGGAGCTGGTATGGAGTTGCATGCTGCACTCACTTGTGTTTTCAAACAAAAATGTCTTCCTAGTGGGAAGGATTACTTATATACCGCAAGGGATACTTATCTTTAACTTATGAAATCCCTCCTGCCAGATTGTGTACATTGAGAAAACTTTATATTAAGCATATACTCTATACTTTCAGCCTGTTCATTTAAACTTGGCTAGGGTTCAGTATTTCCAAATATAAGGCCATTTGTTAGAGCAAGTGGTACCTGTGAAGAAAACCATGTATTTAAATCACTGAGTCAAAATTTAAGGCACAATCCTATGCATCTTTAGACAGAATAATGTCTAAAAGGCTGACTGGGGCATACTAGGAGTTGTAGGACTTTTCTGGTCTAAACAAGCATAGGAGTGTGCCCTTAGGGTCTTTTTCCACCAGCCAGGTTCCCTTATTTTCTCTTGGTTATCTGCTGGTGTGTTAAAGGACTTCTGTCTATTGAATAATAGCTGCTCAATCGTACTGTGACTCCAGCAGCAATGGAGGCTCACCTTAGGCCTTCTCCTGTAGTCTAGGTCTGCTGTGAGAAGGTGTGCTTGAGGTGTGCCACTTTCTGCTCTTCTGTGGTGCGGCAGTAAGTCACCATCTTGCCCAACAGAATAGCTTGAACTCATCCACAGCTGGGTGGGAAACAGTGGCTGTTCACTGCGAGGCTCAAGCCCATCTTTGAAGTGAATGCTTAACATCTGGAGATATTCTTGGTACCCTTAGATTATTTTTCCATGTTTCATTAATTCTTGCATCTCAGGCAGGTAAGGTCTAGTTCTAATGCTGTATCACTCTTATCTGTCTTTTGTGCATAGTCAAAGGATGAATCTGATTATGGAACCTTCTCCCGAAACCCTTCATCCCCCACCCACAGTCTTTATGTTTTTGTAAGAAATTTTGTCTGCCGAATAGGAGAAGATGCTGAACTTTTCATGTCTCTCTACGATCCTCAGAAGCACACAATTATAAGGTAAGTACCTTTCCTTTCACCAGTGTGTCTTCCTTTCACCAACATCTGGTGAGTCTTTCCTGACAAACTCAAATGCACACTGTTCCATATAATGATCCATTGAAAATGAAAGATGCATGGTAAACCCTTGCTTGAAAACCTTCACATGACTAATGAGGCTTGCAACAGCAGTTCCAGTATTGAAGTAGGCATTTCAGTGTCCTATGGAAGAAAACTTCAAAGGAATTGAAGTAACAATAAATATACATATTTATGTTTAAAACAACGCAGGAAAAGGCAGAGAATAAAAAAGGCAGAAATCAAATGTCCTGCAATGAGCAATTCTAGGAATTCAGTCTCTCCCTCTCCCTCTCTCCCTCTCTCCCTCTCTCCCTCTCTCCCTCTCTCCCTCTCTCTCTCACACACACACACACACACACACACACACACACACACACGGCAACGAATAAACTATTAAGCTATCTTATTACATGCAGTCATCTGTTAACAAGTGTTCTGAAATGGTAAGTGAAGAAACAACATCTTATGCATTAATAAATGTGCTAAAATACACTGAAGACTGGGTAAAATTAGGGGGCGCTTTGAAGTATCAAGGGGCTCTAATAGCTTGCAGCCAATGAGCCAATGACTTTCATGAGAGAAAGTTTGCAGGGTTTATTATAAGAAGTCTCCACATGCTTACTCCAAATGTTAACTACAGAGCCCATGATCTCTTGGCAACCCTCATCCTTTCTGTACTGACTTTTCAAGCTTCATACCACTTTTGCTCCTCTTGAGGGAAGAAGCTAATTAAAGCATGATTGTTGTTGAACACAAGGAAAAGTCTCTGTGTTCAACCAAAGATTAGGCCTTTTGTCTGAGCTATCTTGTGATAGGCAAAAACGGAGCCATTGGTTAGCCCACGAGGAATGTATGATTGTGAATGTCACTTTTGCAGCACTGCAAAATGTGCTAGCTGCCAGCCCTGTTTTTTGTCAGCCTTTCTATTTCTTCTGGAACATTCCACCAAACTATAGTATTACAGCTCTGTATTACTTGCAGGGTCAGGGTTAGCACTGGACCAAGCCCCAGGAGAGCCTATCAGGGCCAATGCTAATTGCATCACTTTTCCTCACTTTCTCCACCCACCACTTTAAATTTTTAATAGGGCAGTGAGCATACTGTGAGTGAAGTGCTGGGCAAGGCCACGACCATAGGCTATTTTCATTTCCCCTGAATACTTCTGGGCCCTATTATGTCAAGGGCCGGAGGGATTCTGGGGAACGGAACATGGATGGTAGCTACAGCCTTGACTGGTCATCATATCATAGTGCATCTATCACCCTGCTAAGGGAGGGAGGGATGAGAGATTTACTTGGGGCCCACCAAGATAGCACCGTCCTTTTGGCCTCCTCAAAGCTGGTCCTATCTCCACAATCATTTACCACCTCATGGAGAAGTAGGCATATATCTGAAAAATAGAATAATAGAATGTGTACTCTGGGAAATAAACACACTTAGTTTTCCCACTGTTTTTGACAATATAATCTATAGATCCATAGGGTCAGTTCAGTTCCTATACTTGTGGTTTAATAAGTATGTATTATTGGATCAGAAACTTGCTGTGTGCACAGAAACTGCTTCTTCATCCCTTCCCTTCCCAACTCCCACTACATGCTTGGCTTGGCAAAGATTTCATGACTTCTTAAGCCATAGTGTCATTTCATGTCTGAACTGGGCAATTTGTGGTTTAGAGTGTTCCAATGAACCAGGCTATGTAACCTGGATTGTTATATCTGTATCTCTACCAGGCTGTATGGTGAAATCAGAAAATTAATGTCAACAACTATGACATCTATGCTTTCAGATACATTTCACTTTTATATTTTGAGTACTTTTCATCTTATGCTCATCACTGCCCTGTACACAATGATCTATTCCAAATCTGCTTGAGCTCGTGAGGGGTCATTCTGGGGGAAGTCTGGGGAGTGCTGGGGTGGAAATGTCAGCTTCCACCTGCCTCCTTCCAGGGGTGGAGATCTGGGTTTAAACTCATGTCTTTAATTGCAGACAAACTGCTACACAGTTCTGTTTCTTGGATAGTTATTTATATATCTGCTTGAGTGGGCTGACATTATTTTGTCTTTCTAATGATGGTTGTCAAGAGCTTCTGAAGCACCACTTAGAAATATCTATGTGTGTGTATTTTTGTAAGTGTAAGTTTGTAGAGGTGGTACTCTGGAGTGTTCAGATTTCTGTAGCGCAATGGATATTATATAATTTTATTTTCCAGTATTGGATTATCAGGCTATTGGATACCATGATCATACTTTTTATAATACAATATGCTCTTTTTAAACAGTGAAAATTACTTGGTGAGATGGGGGAGCAAAGGTTTTGTTAAAGAGATCGACAATTTCAACAATTTGAAAGTGGTTTTCACTGTGAGTATGCAGGATTTTTTGTTACATTTTTATTCCACCTTTTCCTCTAAGTAGAGGGAGCAATGCTTGGGCAGAAGGCCTAGGAGACCATAGGATTATGGTAATCTTGGAGTTGGGGCTTTGAAGGCCAAACCCTAGTCCTGCCTCCCCTCCCACAACCCTAGTCTGGTCCCATAACTGGGCCTTGGATAAAGAAAAAAGGATGTGCCAGGAAGGAGGCTGTGAACTTCTAGAATACTGTGTCCAGAGACCACAGGAGAACCTCAAAAATGCTCCAGGGTTTGGAAGCACTGCCCTGTTTGGAGAGACTGAGAGAACTGGGCATTTTCAGCCTTAAGAAGAGAAGACTGAGGGGGGACATGATATCACTCTGTAAGTACCAAAAAGGTTCTCACAAAGAAGATCAAGATCTCTTCTTGCCAATACGAGAGAATAGGACATGGAATAATCAATTCAAGTAGTGACAACCCAGATTTAGGCTAGATATCAGGAAAAGTTTCCTCACTGTCAGAGTAATGTGGCAGTGGAACCAGCTGCCCAGAGAGGTGGTGGGCTCTCCCACACTGGAGACATTCAAAAACTGGACAGCCATCTGAGTGGGATGGTGTAAATTGGTTCCTGCAACAGCAGGGCCTTCTTGGCCCCTTCCAAATCTACTATTCTATGATTGCAGATTATGGACTTATACCAGTTCCTATTGGTGTCCCAGCCTCCTTTCTTCCTACTCCCCAACACTTTATATCCAAAAGCAGATAACCAAAACCAGCCATCTAAGTGCATGGTATGGCAGTGGTGGAGATCACCACCACATCTTGTTGGGCATCAGATGCATATGAGGCTTTGAGTTTGCAGGTTTACATGTGGTGAAGATATGGAACATAGGATTGGGCTCTGACTGACTCAAAGTCACTCAGGGAACTTCACGGCTGAGTAAAAACTAGAATTTGGGATTCACTCTAATTCTCTAACCGCCACCACCACAAAGTGGCTAGTGGGACACTGGATGATGTTGACATACAGTACCTAGCAACCACCACTGTCTGCTTCAGAAATTTACTGAATCAAGTTTTTGCTACTTCTGTCAAATCTCTAGGATGTTCTGGATTTGCTGGATTTTCCCTTAGCTTGGTTTTGTTGGGTGGTATGACCACATTCTCCCACTGGAATAGTGGAACTCAATGTGACTTGGGCAGAGAGATTGTTTAATCTGGCACACTTACCCGAAAGTAGTCCCCACTGAAGTAAATGGTGCTTTCTTTTGCATATTGCATGGGTTGTATTGCACTGTTGGCTTATCAAGTGGCATCCACTTGAGTGAAAAATTACTCAGTGCATCATACAACTAATTTAAAAGTACAATGATTTAGGAATAATCTATATCAGAAACATTTGCATGCAAATGGAACATTGGATCCAAGGCTAAACCCTTGTGAGTTGGCGGTATATTAAACTGCTGGAAATTCAGTTGTGCTTTTAGCTCCACTTGTATACTTTATTTCTTTCAAGAGTAAGACTACACAGGTATATTCTGCTTATTGTTTGATGTAGGCAGTCTAGATACATGACCCAGTAGAACAGAAGTTGGTCAAGACCCAGGGGTAATTGATACATATTATTGTAGCTTCTTCATAGCTATATTTGGCAAGAGTTAATATTGTGTTACAGGGAAAATGTCACTATTAATCTTGTAGACAGTTGTTACTCTAAACAGAAGAGGTGATTGAAATTACTGAGACATACAGTTCCTATCTTAATTAGTCAAGGGCATGAGTAAAATATTGCTTAATAAGGGAAGGGGGGAATCTGACTCATTTTCAAGGGACCATTTTTTCTTTTTGCAGAACAAGCTTAATGAACTTATGACTGCACAGTTTTATAACTTTTTATCATTATAAAGCAAGAACTGAAACTATTCCAGAAAGTGTCTCACTTAGCACCAACTGCCCCACAAAAATTCAGTACAGAACACATTCCTGCTCCAACTTAAAAAGCAGCTAGGAGGTTGAGTTAGTGAGCTTTTAAGAGGGAATTTTCTACTTTTACCTGTAGAACTTAAATTTCTCAGACCGAGCTTAAAACTCTTGAGTCAAATGTTCAAACTGTCTTTTCAATTTGCGTGAGTTTAAAAATCCATTAGTGGGGAGACTCCTACAGAGAGCAGATCTCTGCAAAATTCTTGTGGTTAATGGGACGGTATTGGCATGAAATAGGGCATGAAATGGTTGTATATAAAGATTCAGTTTAGTTTTCAGAACTTTGAGAGATCAATATATTTGGCTCCCATCTCCTTCTATTCCCACATTTCCTCCTAAATGATTAGACTCACTCTGCTGTGGTTATCATTTGCTTCAGTCAACTTGAAAATATTTTAACTGTGCAATTCTGTGCATGCCTATTCAAAATTAACCCTGATTGAGTTCAATGGGACATAAGTGCATTTAGATTTCATGCTAAAAGAGTTGGTTGAAATGTGTGATGGTGTGTTAGTTCACTTGCTTGGTTATAGACTGATCCAGTTCTCATGACACAGTGGACTCCTCAAGAGAGTGTTTAAGCTACAATGAGGGAGACATTTTGGACATGCAACCTCTGCCTATGCATTGTCATGTCATGCAAACCTGGCCACTGAGAGTGATTTGAAGGTTAAACAATGCTTGCACCTGTCCGCTCTTTGTTGTAAGGTTATTCAGAATGATACCTAGCTCATGCTGAGGTCCCACCTGGGTTAAATAACCCATGGTAAGTCATGTCATGTGAACTGACCCAATGACTGGATCCTCAAGGCACTTCACTGGTTTCATTTGGCTCTTTAAAGTTACTGTAAATTCTGAAATCAGATTTCATACCACTCAGCCCATTGCTCCCAAAGAGATATTTTGCTTCTAATGAAAATACATTGTTTCCTCATTCTGAATTTTTTCTTGCTTCAGTAATAATAATAATAATAATAATAATAATAATAATAATAATAATAATAGCTCCTGTAAATTTTAAATTGCTCTTTGGCATGGTATTTTACTGTGAATTTGTTAACTGATCTTTGTTCTCATATATCTCAGGATCTCGGAAATAAAGATCTTGGCAGAGACAAAATTTATTTGATTTGTCAGATTGTACGGGTTGGAAGAATGGATCTCAGAGACACTTATTCTAAAAAATACACTCAGGGAATAAGACGGCCTTTTGGAGCAGCAGGTAAGAAAATCAGAAAACATGGATAGGCTCCAAGTGCTTCCTCATGTACATTACAGCTTTCAGCTAGTCTTTGCCTACTGCAGTTCCTCACCCTCAAAAGTTGCCCTGAAAATTGTGGAACCATCCCCAGAAGCAATCTGTTAGTCACAACAGGCTGTCATCAGGTAGGCAAATGGGCAAAATTCCCTCTTCCTTATGTGGGTGAGGAAGCATCTGTGTACAGACCTCTCTGAATCATGGCCAATATAAATGACTGCCAATAAATACATTAAATACCTTATAAAGCTATAGGCTTTTTCAAAATTAATGCTATAGCTCAAATATTATAATATTGAAGCAATGTTGAAGCAAATGTTGACAATGGAACTTCTGATGCTATATTAAAGATTATAATAGAAATCATGGGATAAAAGTGGCTTTCCAGGCAAGGGTCTCCTCCTAAATTTGTTCAGAATGATGTTGATAACTGACAGTGTTAACTGAAGAGATCTGCCATGCTTGAAAAGGTCCATGAGACTGGGAGTTTACTGGTAGAGGGTTAGGATTAGGCATGGTAGAGCAAGTCAAGAGTTTCCATGGGTGATGGAGAAAGCATACAAGAGGAAAGTCTCTAAAGTGTCCATTCACGTGGTAATACATCAACATGGGCTGTAACATTAGTATTTTATAGGTAAAGAAAAAAACCAAACAATATAACACACATAAGCAAAGTGTGAATGCTAATATATTATTTAAGCAAGCACAACAAATTAGCTAGCTCAGCTTCCTGGAAGTCAAGTTAATTGCTTTCTACCTAGGGCTCTGGTATTCATTGGCTTTTCTCCATTGCCCCATAATTAAATTAATTGACATTTTAGGAAGCAAAGGGAAATAAATGTATTATTTTTTCTGCATAATTGAAACAATCTGCATAACTGAGAACACATACAGTGTTTGTTCTGGCATATGTTGGATTTCAATCTCCTCAGCAACATACTGGCTGTACTGAAAAATGCAAATGGATTCACCCATCATGCTAAAGTATCCAGAAGATAAGCCACAGAAGGCTGGTTGTTCACTGAACAACTAATGTTGTGCCTGTCAGATGTCTGGGCTTACCATAGCTTGTTCTCACACCACCATCCTCAGTCCTCCAGCTAGTGTCCCAGTGTCTTTCATGGCAGAACCCATCTCATCTCTCCAATTTACTGCTTTTCATTCACTGTCACCTTTTAATTTTATTTTTCAGAATCTCAAAAAAGCTCTACTAGAATTTTTCTTAAAAAAAATTGGCGCCTGAAAATTGCTTTTTTAAAAAATGTCCATTGCAAGTGTAGGCTATTCCATATTTGCATTCTTTCCTGTTCAACTTCCTTGTCAGTTTCAGCTGACAAAGAAAAGACAAGTTTAAAAAGAAGAAATATCTGCAAATTTAATGGCTGTGTAGCAAATGAAATGCAAGTTTGTGGAAATTTAATAGTGTTAAAATCACAAAAAGAGGACAGAGGGACATTTGCTGGTTTGTCAAGTGGTTCTCCAGATGTTCCCATCAACCTATGATAAAATTGCCCTACTGAGTTTGGGTGCCCCATTGTGGGCAGGAACAGTGCTAAATCAAGCCATGGTTCTCAAAGTGAATATTTGTGAAAAAGAATCCACTCTGCAGAAACCATGCTGGGTTTGGCCAACATGGCATCCCACTGTGGCTGGTTATCCATGCTGGGTTGTTGTGTCATGTCAACCAGATCTAAGTGTTACTGCATTTAAAAACATTATGACATTCCATGCTGTGGTAAAGACGCACCAGAGAATAAAAGAAGGCACCAATACAAATAATTACATTTGTAGCTATTAAGGTAATTGACACTATACACACTGAGAATGTCATACACGATATGATATCTGACTGTGGTCCAAATTTGTACAGTTCATGAGGTATATGATCTTAATAAAGTTAGTTATTAAGTTATCTGCCTATTTCTTTTTTTGATATCTTCCAGTGATGGATATTACAGACATTGTAAAAGGAAAAGCTGAAAGTGATGAAGAGAAGCAACATTTCATTCCTTTTCATCCGTAAGTTTTTAGGATATAATCTCCCTCTCCCTCTCTCCCTTTCCTCCCCACCCCTCACAGACACATACACACAGTTGGCTCATTTTTTCTTGCTCCCAAAACAAGTAATAATGGGCAACACACAAAGGTTCCTTCCCACATGAAGATGATTTTTTAATGAAATGGGGCGAATGGGGCAGCATAGAAGCTTTCTAAATAAATAAATAAATAAATAAATAAATAAATTTTCATTCAAGGAGCTCTAGGAAAAACAACATGAATCCAGTTATGTTCTCCAACTTGCATAATTTACACTTTTGTTCAAAAGAAAGCATACACAAAGCATATCAAACTTACCTATCTTTGCAGTGATGGTACTTTTATGCCAAAAAAGTGGTTAAGAGCAGTAACCAGTGTGGTGTAGTGGTTAAGAGCATGGGACTGGGACTCAGAGGATCTGGGTTCTAGTCCCCGCTCAGCCATGGAGCCAACTGGGTGACTTTGGGCCAGTCACAGACTCTCAGCCCAACCTACCTCACAGCGTTGTTGTTGTGGGGATAAGATGGTGGAGGAGAATGATGTAAGCTTCCTTAAGCCCTTTGTAGGAAAAAGGCAGGATATAAATCAATAAATAAATAAAAAAGAAGGAAAGGAAAGGAAAGGAAAGGAAAGGAAAGTGGGACAGCCCATCCCCTCCCACACAACAAGCTCTACCACACATTCTTCTGGTTCTGTGGATTGCCATTCCCTTGTGCTGGCTGGCAATTTTTCCACTGGTTTGTGGCTCTCTGTTATCTCTTGAAACTCTATCTGCTTGGAAGTATAAGTACTAGACTAGATGGCTCAGGAGGCCTCTTCTGACTCACTCCGTTTCTAAGTACACTGTTACAAATTATTACATTGATGGAAGAAATGGAGGACATTTAACTGAATGCTTATTCCAGTTGTGTTTCTTGCTTAGCTTATCTGCATGTTTACTGATACCTCTGTTCTAAACAATTTCTTTTCTTCCTTTAGCATGTCAGAGAATGAATTTTTGCATAATCTATTAAGCAAGGTCACAACATTCAAAGGTGATAGTGGCGGACAAGGTGAAGTATATTTTCATTGGTTCTCAACAATAGAGTCCCCCTGCCACACAGTACAATAACCTAAGTATGGTGGCATTATTGATCTCCCTTGCAGCCAGTTTCCATTAAACCAATACCATGCTGAATCCTTGCAGCTCCACTGCACTTTGTTCTGAGCATGTTGTTGCCTTTCCATTAGTTGATAGAAGAGTTTTTCCATTAGTTTGTGGCTCTAGCCAGTGACATTATTTTATTCTCATTAAAACAGGAAACTCATTTATTTTACTTGTACACATTCTTACTGCCATCTCATCAACATCTTTAGAATCTTAGAATTCTAATAACAGGCAGTTTTATGTGGGGATATGTAGGCACATCCACTATGCTTTACTCAAGGGCATCAGCCCTTTCGTAGGTATAGCCTTCATTTGGAGGTGCTGGTTCTTAGGAAATGGCATTTTCATGTGTGGAGCTTGTGTTTTCCAGCAGCCCATGAGATGCCTTAACCGTGGAACTTGTGAATCAAGCTTTCTCACCAGGTTGTTAAAGGAAGGAATGGTTTAAGATAAGTATCAATGTGATCACATTTGCATTCTTTTACAGGACTGTGGGTAACTATGAAAATGCTTGTTGGAGACATAACACAGATTCGGAAGGACTACCCACATCTTGTTGACAGAACAACGGTTGTTGCCAGGAAGCTTGGGTTTCCTGAAATAATCATGCCAGGTATGAGGTTCACAGAATCATAGAAGAGTAGAGTTAAGCCTGGCTACTGTGGCCATCAGGTCCAATCCCTTGCTGAATGTATCCATAACAGATAGCTGTCCAGTGGCATCTTGAATTTTTCCAGTGTGGAAATGCTCACAAGCACTCTGGCTCATTGTTGTATTTCTCTAAGAACAGTCAGGTAGTTTTTCCTGGTATTCAGGTGGAATATGGCTTCCTGTACCTCGAGTCCATGATTCCATAGTCTGCACTTTGGGATGATAGAGATCCCATCCTTCCTTTTTGTGACAACCTTTCAAGTCCTTGAAGCGTGCTATCACTTCTCCCCTCATTCTTTTTTCAAGGTTAAACATGCCGAGTTTACCTTCCTTAGAGTTTTGTTTCTAGGTTCTTGATCATCCTCTGAATCATTTCAGTTTGTCTTAAAGCAAGGTGTCAGGGACAGATTGTCAGATGCAGTTTGCTTGCCTCTTTCTTAAACTGTTAGTGGTTTGGCTTAGAATAAAAATTATAATTTTGTCCTGTTGCCCCTCCCCACAGTTCAAATACTACAAGGTATGCACACTGGCTTCTTCATGGATCACTGCCTTGTTGTGGCGAAGGGGCTTGTGTAGCTCAATGAAGCTATGAGCTATGCCGTGCAGGGCCACCCAAGACGGACAGGTCATAGCAGAGAGCTCTGACAAAATGTGATCCACTGGAGAAGGAAATGGCAACCCACTCCAGTATCTTTGCCATGAAAACCCCATGGACAGTACCAAAAGGAGAAAAGATATGATGCCGGAAGATGAGCCCCTCAGGTCGGAAGGTGTCCAATATGCTACTGGGGAAGAGCGGAGGGCTAGTACTAGTAGCGCCAGAAAGAATGAAGCGACTGGGTCAAAGCCGAAAGGACACTCACTTGCAGATGTATCTGGTGGTGAAAGGAAAGTCTGATGCTGCAAAGATCTATACTCCATAGGAACCTGGAATGTAAGATCCATGAATCAAGGCAAGCTGGATGTGGTCAAACAAGAGATGACAAGACTGAACATCGACATCTTAGGAATCAGTGAACTAAAATGGACAGGAATGAGTGAATTTAATTCAGATGACCACCAGGTATACTACTGTGGGCAAGAATCCCTCAGAAGAAATGGAGTAGCCTTCATAGTCAATAAAAGAGTAGGAAAAGCAGTACTAGGATACAATCTCCAAAATGACAGAATGATCTCAGTTTGAATCCAAGGAAAACCATTCAGCATCACAATAGTCCAAGTCTATGCCCCAACCACTGGTGCTGAAGAGGCTGAAGTTGACCGGTTCTATGAAGGCCTACAACACCTTCTAGAATTAACACCAAAAAATGATGTCCTTATCATCATCGGGGATTGGAATGCTAAAGTAGGAAGCCAAAAGATAACTGGAATAACAGGCAAGTTTGGCCTTGCAGTACAAAATGAAGCAGGGCACAGGCTGGTAGAATTCTGTCAAGAAAATACAATGGTCATAGCAAACACTCTTTTCCAACAACCCAAGAGATGACTCTACACATGTTCATCACCAGACGGTCAACACAGAAATCAGACTGACTATGTGCTCTGCAGCCAAAGATGGAGAAGCTCTATACAGTCAGTAAAAACTAGACCAGAAGCTGACTGTGGTTCAGATCATGAGCTTCTTGTTGCAAAATTTAGGCTTAAATTGAAGAAAGTAGGGAAAAGCACTAGGCCACTCAGGTATGACCTAAATCATATTCCTGATGAATATGCAGTAGAGGTGACAAATAGATTTAAGGAATTAGATCTGATAGACAGAGTGCCTGAAGAACTATGGATGGAGGTTTGCAACATTGTGCAAGAGATAGCAACTAAAACCATCCCAAAGAAAACAAAATGCAAGAAAGCAAACTGACTGTCTGAGGAAGCTTTACAAATAGCTGAGGAAAGAAGGGAAGTGAAAGGCAAGGGAGAAAGAGAAAGATATGCCCAATTGAATGCAGAATTCCAGAGAACAGCTAGAAGACATAAGAATGACTTCTTAAATGAACAGTGCAAAGAAATAGAAGAAAACAATAGAATAGGGAGGATCAGAGATCTCTTCAAGAAAATTGGAGATATGAAGGGAACATTTCATGCAAAGATGGGCATGATAAAGGACCAAAATGGCAGGGACCTAACAGAGGCAGAAGAGATTAAGAAGAGATGGCAAGATTACACAGAAGAACTGTACAAGAAAGAGCTTGACATCCATGATAACCACGATGGGGTGGTCACTGACCTTGAGCCAGACATCCTGGAATGTGAATTCAAATGGCCTTAGGAAGTCTGAACAACAAAGCTAGTGGAGGTGACAGTATTCCAGCTCAGCTATTCAAAATCTTGAAAGACGATGCAGTAAAAGTGATACACTCAATATGCCAGCAAACTTGGAAAACTCAACAGTGGCCACAGGATTGGAAAAGGTCAGTTTACATTCCGATCCCAAAGAAGGGCAATGCCAAAGAATATTCAAACTACCACACCATTGCACTTATTTCACATGCTAGCAAAGTTATGCTCAAAATCCTGCAAGCTAGGCTCCAGCAGTATGTGGACCGAGAACTACCACAAGTACAGGCAGGATTTCAAAGAGAGAGAAGAACTAGAGATCAAATTGCCAACATACGCTGGATCATGGAGAAAGCTAGGGAGTTCCAGAAAAACATCTGCTTCTGCTTCATTGACTATGCTAAAGCCTTTGACTGTGGGGATCACAACAAACTGTGGCAAGTTCTTAAAGGGATGGGAGTACCTGACCATCTTATTTGTCTCTTGAGAAACCTATATGTGGGTCAAGAAGCAACAGTGAGAACTGGACACTGAACCACTGATTGGTTCAAAATTGAGAGAGGAGTTCAGCAAGGCCCTGCCTATCGCTCTGCCTATTTAACTTATATGCAGAGCACATCATGAGATAGGTGGGTCTAGATGAATCACCAGTTGGAATTAAGATTGCTGGGAGAAATATCAACAACCTCAGATATGCAGATGATACCACTCTAATGACAGAAAGTGAAGAGGAACTAAAGAGCCTCTTGATGCGGGTGAAGGAGGAGAGCACAAAAGTTGGCTTGAAACTCAACATTAAGAAAACTAAGATCATGGCATCCGGTCCTCTCACTTTCTGGCAAATAGATGTGGAAGAAATTGAGGTAGTGACAGATTTTATTTTCCTGGGCTCCAAGATCACTGCAGACGGGGACTGCAGCCAAGAAATTAAAAGACACTTGCTCCTGGGGAGGAAAGCTATGGCAAATCTAGACAGCATACTAAAAAGCAGAGCCATCACCCTGCCAACAAAAGTGCATATAGTCAAGGCTATGGTTTTCCCAGTTGCAATGTATGCCTGTGAAAGTTGAACCATAAGGAAGGCTGAGCACCAAAGAAGGATTGAGGCCTTTGAATTGTGGTGCTGGAGGAGACTCCTGCGAGTCCCTTGGACAGCAAGGCGATCAAACTGGTCAGTCCTAGAGGAGAGCAACCCTGACTGCTCTTTAGAAGGCCAGATGCTGAAGATGAAACTCAAATATTTTGGCCACCTAATGAGAAGGAAGGACTCCCTGGAGAAGAGCCTAATGCTGGGAACAATAGATGGCAAAAGAAGAAGGGGACAGCAGAGAATGAGGTGGCTGGATGGAGTCACTGAAGCAGTTGGTGTGAGCTTGAGTGTAATCCGGGGGATGGTGGAGGACAGGAAGGCCTGGAGGAGTGTTGTCCATGGCGTCATGATGGGTCGGACATGACTTCGCGACTAACAACAACAACAACATGCACACTGGATTGGATCCTGATACACACCGGCTAGAGAATCTGACTTTCCCACACCCTCAATTCCCTTCCAGCCTCTAGTTCCTCCTGCAAATGCTGCCTTTGGCGTTGGGGATCCTGCTGAGTGGAGTGGACTACAGTGAGATGGTGGGGATGGGGGAAATGGTTGAAACTCCAGAAGGAGGCATCCTTTGTGGAACAGAAAATGCCTCAGCCCAATTTCCCACCATCTCCTCTTGTATTCCCACATCATCACTTGTTACTCTTTATCCCACTACCCCCAGTGGAGCATTTTGGTGGTAGTGGAGACTCCGTGTGCTAGCAGGGAGAATAGGGACAGGAGTCACTTTCTCTGTTCCCTTTTGGGGTAGATATATAGATACGGCCCACTGCATTTCATGTGGTTCATTATTTATAACCATAGGAGTCCGTCATAGATACTAAACTGCAATGCTCCATTTTCTAAGTAAAATGAAAAAAGCATATCCCAAATGAAATTTCCATGGGTGTGTTCTGAGACACTGAGAAGGTGAAAAATAGTTTACATCTTTCAGCTTTCCCATAGAAAATTCAAATTTAATTTTATTCAGAACGTGTACAACAACTGATATTTATTTCATAAATCCATGTGGTTCAGAATTAATGGCATTGAAATGAAATTCTACCATGTATGTGCAGTATATTAGCAAATTATAGTAAAACGTTTCATTTAATCCATTGGGGAATGCTCTACTTTATTAACCACTACTTAAAACCTGTAGGCTCTTATTACATGTTGATAATTTATAATCTCTAAATTTGATATTCAAGGAACTTCTTATGATTCACCACTTTCCCAATGCAAATGTTAATTCTTGTCAAGTCTTTTTTATTCGTTTAGAAATCGATTGCACACTCCATAGTGTACAAAGTATGGGGTTTTCCCCTCCAGCACTGCTGCAAACAATGGGGGGAACTGCTCTTTCACTGGGTGATTATATCTATGAGGTTTCTTATTATAATTCAGAGCCTAAGGACTGCTCTGAACTCACTTTAAGTCAGAGTTCTAAAACTGGCCCTGTCCTGCTACTACTAGTTCTCCTAGAACACTTGAAGAACTCCTAGTAGTTGGTGCGCAAGCTTAGGAGTCATATGGATACCAACTCTAGAGAGCAGATTAATTATGATATGAGTTATTTTATCGAAGCGATATTTGGAATATTGGGAACATAA